AAGGTGATAGGCTGGAAACATTTTAAACCGAACATGGAATGAACAAGCAAATTGTCTGGGAAATAATCAGCAGGAGAACAGTAAGCCAGTGTGTGGCTCTTCTGACAGAAATACACATCCATGTGACCTGTGGTCAAATATTTAGCTTTTTGATATTGCAATAACAATATCATGGGTTGTTTTCTACATTGTCTCACCACATTAATGTTTCTTCACAATAACACCCATTTACCAATGCTGCTTGACCTGTAGGAAATGGGGAAACAGGCTATCAGATACAAAGATACATGTTTTGACAGAAGCCATAGGAAACAGGACAGTTAGCCTACTGTGATTGCTGCAGCTTGCTGGTTAAATGTTCAGCAGAAACAATGCTGCTGAGCCTGGCCCTGGAGTGGTGGTCTAAATGGCCATGCTGTTGAGGTAACGTTCCTGCTGCATGATCACTTCATGCAAACCGGGCTTTGTGGATTAATGGAAATCAGGATTTATTTTCTGATGTCGTAAGAACATTAGGCCTATTGCGCACATTGCTGGATCAGTGCTGTGGTAAGCAGTGCTTTTCAGGTGAGCATGACAATCCACTATTCTCTATTTTGGTCACTGATTTTGAGCGAGTATGGGAAAATCTGTTTTTCTGTTTTATCACAAAACTCATTGCAGCATTCAATAAATTCCATTTAATCTGCTGAGTAAAGCTAGCTTATAATGTCAACGTTATAAAGGGCCACTGTGCTCCAGTTACATAAGCGTTCTGGTGACTATTTAGCTTTACAAAAATCAGAATCACTTTATTTGCCAAGTACATTTGCACATACCCGGAATTTGACTTAGTGAGTAGGTGCTGCCAGCAAAAGACAATATACAAACAGAATACAGACACAAAGTCAACATACAGATTATACAATATAAATACAGTAAACGTAAAGCTGATTTACCGTGAGGATATACAATTTACAGATATACACTGACTATACCAAACATTAGGAACACCATCTTAATATTGAGTTGCACCCCCCCTTTTGCCCTCAGTACAGCCTCAATTCGTCGGGGGATGGACTCTACAAGGTGTTGAAAGCATTCCACAGGGATGCTGGCCAGTGGCGGTCGGTGCATAAAAAAATTACAAAAATAAACATGTATAAGCATGGCCTTATTTCTAATACAGCATATTGGATGACTGTCATTCATATTCCATTCACCCAGCTCAATGTAACATCGATAGGTTTAGGCTACTACATGATACTCAAATTTTCCTATGCCCATCATGAGGTTGCTACAACCTAGCCTATGAATGAAAGTTTACCACGTAGGTGCACAGGTCGAGAGAATTTTGAGTAATCAAGGTGACAGACTGTGACACATTCAATACCGTCCTGTATCTAGCTGATATAGGGTGTAATCATTAGTCCAACAGTTGCAAATTAGAGTTTCTATTGGACAAATTCAGGTACGTTTATCCCCATTCCGTTTGCTTCCGTTTAAGAAAAAAAATGTCAACAGAATTGGAGGAATGAATACATCCCTGATCACACACAAACACAGTTCTCTTTCATAGCAGCCATATAAAAACAGCATGATCACTTTGCTTCTTGTATATATAATTCCGTCTCGCAACTATCTACGCACGCTCCTCCTCTCACCTTTTCGCTTCTCTTGTAGACTTCAGTGCACAACACATCAGCTGTCTGTGACCAAGTGAAAAAACCTTTCAAAGACAAACCTTCATATCATGACTTCTAACCGCTACGCACAGCCTACATCGTTGTCACCACATAGTCAACATAGCTACTAGAACTAACGTGTTAGTAAACCCGCTACAATCATGCAGTACAGTGTACAGTCAGCAAGCAGTTTAGCAGTTACACCGGCGGGCCCCGGTGGTAATAAATTATTAAAACCAAAAGCTTACCTTAACTTGGAAGAGTTCCATTGTTGGATAGCCATAGTCAGTTAGTTAACATAGCATCCCTCTCTGTTTTGAGCCAGGTGTTTGAGTAGGCTAAACTAGCTAGCTGCATTCAGCTAGCTAAGTGAAAGTAAAAAAAAAAAAAAATACAACCAAATATAGCTAGCTCTCTCTCTGTCTCGCTTGTCCTTATTAGGAAGAAATTAATTTGTTGAAAAACTGTTAAAACTATTGTCTTTCTCTCTTTGAGTCAACTACTCACCACATTTTATACACTGCAGTGCTAGCTAGCTATAGCTTATGCTTTCACTACTAGATTCATTCTCTGAACCTTTGATTGGGTGGACAACATGTCAGTTCATGCTGCAAGAGCTCTGATAGGTTGGAGGATGTCCTCTGGAACTTGTCATAATTACTGTGTAAGTCTATGGAAGGGGGTGAGAACCAAGAGCCTCCTAGGTTTTGTATTGAAGTCAATGTACCCAGAGGAGGGCAGAAGCTAGCTGTCCTCCGTCTACACAATGGTGCTACCCTACAGAGTGCTGCTGACCTTCTAGGCAGAGTTGCAAAGAAAAAGCAATATCTCAGACTGGCCAATAAAAATAAAAGATTAAGATGGGCAGTCTGAGATATGGCTTTTTCTTTGCAACTCTGCCTAGAAGGTCAGCATCCCGGAATCGCCTCTTCACTGTTGACGTTGAGACTGGTGTTTTGCGGGTACTATTTAATGAAGCTGCCAGTTGAGGACCTGTGAGGCGCCTGTTTCTCAAACTAGACACTCTAATGTATTTGTCCTCTTGCTCAGTTGTGCACCGGGGCTTCCCACTCCTCTTTCTATTCTGGTTAGAGCCAGTTTGCGCTGTTCTGTGAAGGGAGTAGTACACAGCGTTGCACGAGATCTTCAGTTTCTTGGCAATTTCTTGCATGAAATAGCCTTAATTTCTCAGAACAAGAATAGACTGACGATTTTCAGAAGAAAGTTATTTGTTTCTGGCCATTTTGAGCCTGTAATCGAACCCACAATTGCTGATGCTCCAGATACTCAACTAGTCTCAAGAAGACCAGTTTTATTGCTTCTTTAATCAGCACACCAGTTTTAGCTGTGCTAACATAATTGCAAAAGGGTTTTCTAATGATCAATTAGCCTTTTAAAATGATAAACTTGGATTAGCAAACACAATGTGCCATTGGAACACAGGACTGATGGTTGCTGATAATCAAAAAATAGATGGCATCATGAGGAAGGAAAATTATGTGGATATATTGAAGCAACATCTCAAGACATCAGTCAGGAAGTTAAATCTTGGTCGCAAATGGGTCTTCCAAATGGACAATGACCCAAAGCATACTTCCAAAGTTGTGGCAAAATGGCTTAAGGACAACAAAGTCAATGTATTGGAGTGGCCATTACAAAGCCCTGACCTCAATCCTATAGAACATTTGTGGGCAGAACTGAAAAAGCGCAAGGAGGTCTACAAACCTGACTCAGTTACACCAGCTCTGTCAGGAGGAATAGGGCCAAAATTCACCCAACTTATTGTGGGAAGCTTGTGGAAGGCTACCTGAAACGTTTGACCCAAGTTAAACAATTTAAAGGCAATGCTACCAAATACTAATTGAGTGTATGTAAACTTCTGACCCACTGGGAATGTGATGAAAGAAATAAAAGCTGAAATAAATAATTCTCTCTACTATTATTCTGACATTTCACATTCTTAAAATAAAGTGGTGATCCTAACTGACATAAAACAGCAAATTTTTACTAGGATTAAATGTCAGGAATTGTGAAAAACTGAGTTTAAATGTATTTGGCTAAGGTGTATGTAAACTTCCGTCTTCAACTGTATATACTGTATATCTAAAAAGGATAACAAATTATAGCACTCTCAAAGTCGCTTAGGTCACTTGTTTTGCCCATTCTAACGTTCAATCGAACAGTAACTGAATACCTTGATGCCTATCTGCCAGCATTATATAGCAACCCATGGCCACGTGACTCACTGTCTGTAGGAGCGATCCATTTTCGCTAACGGGGTACCTAATAAACTGTCCGGTGAGTGTATATATGCAGAGGAAGGGATGCTGCCGGTACAAATAAATAGTGTTGTGCAGAGGGTTTATATGTCCCTTTCAGATGGCAGTGGCTTCATTTGACTTAATTTCTCTGTGACTGCGTGAGCGGTGAACCAATCAAACACAGGGTGGTATTGACAGGTACCCTGCAGCCCTCCTAGTGTTTTACTACCTGGCATGGTGGCTGGCTCTGCCTGAGGAAGAGGGACAGCCCTGGCATTGGGTACAGTACTGACTGGCATAAATGGGCCTCTGTCCTTGCCACACTGATTCCACCAACCCTGCTTCTCCTCTTGCTTGTAATCATGGGAAAACAACCCATCTAAAATTGTCACATCTCTAAGGTCTCTTTTTCTTAGAATAGCACAGTAATAAGAGAATGAGCACAGTCTCTTGGTTTGTGGATATCTAGGCCAATTGTCAGTCCTGGCTTTGAATAGAGCTGCTGATTAGTTGCGTGGCTTAAAGGAGGCCACTTCTATGATGTCTTCTTTGCCATAGTTAATTATCACTATGACATTGACATAGACATGCCAGTGGCCAGGGCCTTTTCCTACTGTATGGCTCACAGAAATGTCTTATGGCTAATGATGAGTACATTATAAGATGGGCTACTGGGGCTTGTGTTGTTAGAATGTCTTCACTTTGAGTGAACCTCTGCCAGGCCAAGAATAGCCTCTGCTTAATATCAATTAGACAGGTCTGTATGTCTCCTTTGACACTAATGTGAAGCTTTCACTCAGTCTGTCTTGTAGTGATCCTATCTTTCTGGGTGTCTGGCCTCAGTCCAGGGCTGTATTTGTAATCACAGCAGGAGGCAGAGAGATGGTGGTGGCCCACCCTCCAGGTTAACGGTCCAATCATGAATCTTTCAGAGCTTGTGATGAAGCTCACACAGGCTGGTTTTTGTACCTGAATGTCAACATCCTCAGCTTTTAGTGGTTAAGGAAGCAAAAATAAATGGGCATCTCCCTCCCCTTGAGTTTACATACAAGACACTTGTCTAAAGATTTAGATGATGTGGGGCCAGCACAGAAAAGGGACAGAGCTCTTGTGCACCCTGAGTGAGCTCTGTGTTTCGTGTCACCTGTCCTCCCAGGTGGTTGACTTGGTAAAATGGTGCAGTGGGAGTGTGCCTGGAGAGCTGGCAGGGATCAGAGCAGCAGGCCAGGGCCTTGCCAGCTGCAGTCTGTGGGAGCACAGGGACAAACACACCATTCATCTCTCAAATGAGCAGACCCTGTCCAGTTCAAGTTACACCAGCATAGGGGTAAATTGTTGGTCAGTAGCCTACTTGGCTCTATTTCAACACTCAACCTTGAAATACTTTCAGATCTAACAGAACATGTACAGTCCTCTACATTATTATTTAAAGTGCTTAGCGGCCTTATCAACCGTTTAAGTATGGTGTCACCACTATTTTTTTTCGCCCTCCCGTTAATCGCCTTACAATATGGTTGCAAACGCATGCAGAATTGAATTGTCTCCCTCCGGCATTCCCTCTCCCTACCTGGACGCTTGTGCCATTGTTCGCCCCCTGGTCCCCTGCTTGGCCTCACAACCAGGTCTACAAGTACGGTGCCCCAGGCTGTTTCCCTCCTTTCCACAGCAATGGTGTGAGAATGTGAATGCCTCCTCCAGCCCCTTTCGCTCTAATCCTCTCTTGTGCTCTGTCTCGCCCCTCTGGTCCCCTGGTCTTAGCTCCACTCCCAGGTCCTACTCAAAGGGCCCTCTGTGCTGCTGCCTGGCAAGCCAAGTGTTTATGGAATGTCTCAGCTGCTTGTGGGGTGTGGGGGACACAGCTAATGAAATGTAAAGTGCTGTGTGAGCTTAACTCTCCACAAACAGCCTGACCCCTGGGGCTTGTTAGACAATAATTAGTTTGTGGATATTGCTTCTGGCAGAACATACCTGGCTCCACGAGGGGACAAAAGGGGGCTTAGCCCCCTCAATTGAAACTTGTGCTCCCTCAGTTTGTTTTATGTCCCTATATAAAAATAGCACCCCCAAAAAATAATCCCCAGAATCTTTTCGCATGTCTATTTTCAAAGGATAAAGCTAACGTGCTGACCATCCGCACCAGATGTGATCAGAACATGCAGGTTGAAATATCAAAACACTAAACTCTGAACCAACTATATTAATTTGGGGACAGGTCAAAACACATATGAAACATTCACAAACATTTAGCTTGCTGTTGCTAGCTAATTTGTCCTGGGATATAAACATTGGGTTGTTATTTTACCTGAAATGCACAAGGTATTTTTTCTGGGTCTGTAAAATTGGGACCCATTTTGAGTCACACAAAATCGTGTGTTCTCTACTCTGACAATTAATCCACAAATAAAAGGGGGTAACCTAGTTAGTTTCTAGTAATCTCTCCTCCTTCAGTCTTCTTATTCTGTGGACTTTATATGGTGGTTGGCAACCAACTTTAAGGTGCATTACTGCAACCAACTGGACTGGAGTGTGGACCTCGTTCATCTTTCAATCACCCTCGTGAACCAAGTTCTATTTTAGCGCCTGGCTGCGCAGACGCTTGTTGACGCGCACGAGCAGTTAAGATGAAATGATTGAATAACATGTATGTGTACATTTACTTTCCAAAGCTAGCACATGCAACATGGGAGGTGTGGTCAGCATGTAAGAACATTAACAACTTCATAGTTAAGAACACTATAACAATATGGAAGAAAATGAAACGTATTCTACCATAACCAATATCACTCCCTAAAAACACAACCCTATGGAAAAATCCTTGAATAGCTTTTCAGAATTCACAGATTGGTCCCCATGGAAACTAAAGGCATAGAAACAGTAAATTACTTTGTAATAGGAAGTACATTTATTTCCATGACAGAATTAAAAAGCAATTTTGGAATGACCAATGTAGATATTTTCAAATACATGCAACTTAAAAGTTTCATACCAAGAAATGTCTATTTGAAATCTTTTGGACATCAGAGCAATCTTGCGGGAATCCGATTCGAGTCAGAAAATGATTTTCATATGATGGGTAAGATATACAAAACCTTGCAGAGAGCCTATCCAACTGACAATCTCTTAGAATTTTTTTTAAATGATTGGAACCAAGACTTAAAAATAACTAATATTGGCACACAGTGGAGGGAATGTTGGAACATAACTAGCAAAATTACATTTAACGAAGGCAGTCATGTCTTAAGTGTAAAACTAACAATGACTCAATAATCCATGCCTTCTGGGAATGCTATAAAGTTGAAATGTTATGGGCAGAGTTCGAAAGTTGTTTATCAGAAGTATTACAATGTAAATGTACTTTTAATGCATCTGTCTGCATATTTCAAGACATGGCATATGAGGGTACATTTCTTGTCCATCTTGAAAAAAAGTATACTTAAACTGGAAATCAACCAATCCTCCATCGTTAACACAATGGAAAGGTCAAATGCTTTATTATCTAAAAGTTGAAAGTGCGTGGGCGACATGTGGCGGAGAGTGATGTAGGCGGCAGCAACTTGTGGCGGCAGCGACGATGCCCCAAGCACCAGCAGAGATTTGGATATAATGACGAGATACCTATGTCTCCACCCTAATGATGGGATTCGTTTTCCACAGAGCATAACGGCGGGCTGCCAAGCTCCTGCCTATTCCACTCTTTGGATTGGCGGATACATCTTGTTATTTGAATACTTTTTTTGAATATATTCGTTGATGTCAACCGCCTGTTTTCAATGGAGAGATGCTATGCTACATGTCACGAATATGCATAGCCATCTCGAGACAACTCCGATATAAAGTGTTTTTTTCTCAAAGTTGCTGGGATGTCACGTGTCCTACTTATATCAGTACACTTGTAACAACCTAAGCATTATGAAACTTCTTCTATTCGATCAAATAAACCTCACATAGCAAATAAACCATTACATTTTCTGTTGACCAAATTCGACACTCATTGACCTCCATACAAAAACTCCCCCCTTGGTAAGTGAAAGAAACAACGCCACCTGCTGGAGGAGACAGATTTTTGGCCCAGTTGTCCCTCTCGCTTCGCCTCTTCCTCTCCAGCTCAAGCTAGCGCCGCATGCAGAGCCTTCCCCCTCTTCCACAAGCGCCGCCAGGATAATGGCCCCACAGCCCCCTCCACCTCCACTGTTCCTGACGATCTTGGAACAGAGGAGCCAGCCCAGGTTAGCCTAGAATCCTACCCTAGCTGCAGGTTTTCTGTCCAAAAACGTTAATTTAATAGCAACTGGTTCATAGGAAGAGTGGCTGGAATACTCGGTTACCGCAGATGCGGCATTTTGTTTCCCATGTCAAAAGTTCTGTGTTGGGTCCAATGCTAACACAGACAAGGCCTTTACCCAAGCTGGGTGTTCTAACTGGAAGCATGTTAATGATAGTACCAAGGGAATCGCTAGGCAGGCATCAAGTAAAGAGCATTTGATATGCCCTGTGGAAAGAAAAACAGGTTAGGGTATGGGTACTGAGGTGTCGACACTTGTTTTTGATGGGCAGCTGGCAAGAAATCGTGTCGGCGATTGTGGACATTATTGAGTTCCTTGTTTCAAACCAGCAACCACTGAGGGGGACATTGGACGCGATAGAGTCAAGAGGGGAGGGGGCAGTGGACTTTTTCTGTCTATAATGGAATATACTCTCCGAAAAGACAAGGAACTTGCCAAGGTGTTTAGCACCATACTCCACAATGCCACATACACATCATATGATATTCAAAATGAAATCATAGGGCTCATGAGTGAGATTGTCATTGGGAAAGCTACATGCGAGAACAAATGTTCCACTTTGACAAACGTGTTCAGTCAACACAGAGGAAGCATGCTACACCTGAGGAAAGCTCAACTAATCCAACTGGCATTTGAGGGAGATCTTACAAGAAGATTTCGGGGAGAATGGAATGATCGATGACTCAGGAAGTTCCACAGAGCATCGAGAAGATCGAAAAACGATCTAGCTGGTTGTTTTTTATACAAATCTTGCTTTAGTGTGAAGTGCGCTGTTCCTGGTGCTGATAGAGCGCAGCAGAGATTTCGCGCCAACCTGTTACTTCTTGATCAAAATAATTTGAGCTTTTATGTTCATTGTGGTGTAGCGTGATATAAGCAGAATTCAATATAATTCCAATGCAAGAACCCAAATTACACCCTTGGGTATAGCTACATATCGGAATGTTACATCATAGAAATAGATACATTCTATTATGTTTTTCTTGGTAGCATATAGGTTTTCGTGGTTGTAAATGGAACTGTACGTATTGGAAACGTGCTGATGGTAGGCCGGCATTGATTATCTGGGTCAGTTGATTCACAGAAGTGTATTGTGCCATATCACAATGTGTTGCTGAACTCATGAGCACAGAGTGGCATGATTTTCCATGTTTGACCTATTTATTTGGCAAGACAGCTGTGCATGGCTGCATCTCACTGTAGTAGGCTATGTTTTGGTTATTTGGATCTCCATTCGCCTTTTGTTTAGTGCGTTTGTTTACTGTTACTGTAACTAGCCTACATATAGATTGTGTCATGCCTTTATCAGTCTGATAGGCCTACTACTTTGTAACAGTGTTTTGTTCTGTTCGCATTCGCAGTTGTCGGTATTCTAAGCCAAACTGCTGTTCAGTATTTTTGTTTGCATGCATGAATAACTAAGCGACTACTTTCAGCATTTAGTTTGCATTATTTTGTTTAGACAGCTGTGTGTACGGCTGCATTCACATAGGCTTTTTTAAAGAGGTTTAACCCTATCTATCTTGTAGCCTATATTCATTACCAAAACGGACTTGCTTTAGTGTGTAGGGCGCTGTCCATTGTGCTGATACAGATTTCGTGCCAACCTGACTGTCACTTCAAAAGCACTCAATGATCTCCGAGTCTCAGCATTTGAACTTTGTTTATTGTGGTATAGCGTGATATAAGCAAAATTCTGCCCCCTTAGTCACTTTATCCTGGTTCTGGGTCTGTGGCAGACAACACTATTTCATGTATTTACTTTAACAAGATGTACTGTAGAACAAAGACTTATATCCACAAGCATGAGTCCTTAAGAAGATTCCTCCTGGAAGCTTAACTGCTATTCTAGACATTGCTCTGAAAGCACAATGATAGTGAAGATTGTATAATTCATGATCTTTGCCCCCATTTCCTGTTTGTCCACAGTGCTCAGAGGAAAAGTCTCTAAACCTGGCCTTCAGTGTGTTTCACCTGACTGACCAACTCTTAAGAGACTGCCGAGGGTGGCAGGTAGCCTAGCGGTTAAGAGTGTTGGGCCAGTAACCGAAAGGTCGCTGGTTGGAATCCCCGAGTAGACTAGGTGAAAAATATGTCTGTGCCCTTGAGCAAGGCACTTAACCCTAATTGCTCCTGTAAGTTGCTCTGGGTAACTGCTAAAATGTCTCGTGGGTGCATCATCCGTCACTGTCGAGCATATAATAGAGAAAATAACTAGGTGTGTGTATCCGCAATCTGTTTTTGTTGTGGTCTATTTTGGAAAAGAGAAGATGGGACACAGGTGTTGAGATCTGAATAATGTATCCCTGATATTAGGGGAAAACACATTTGTGCCTTTTTTAGCTAGTATCACACCTTCACTGTATCAGCGTGCTTATGTGTGTGCATCCTGTAGATCACAGATTGGAACAATTATTGAGCCTTGATATTCTGTTACACAGAGCATTACTGTGACCATCCTGAGCTATTTCAACACACTGATTAGTAGGTGCGCTGGGCTGGGTGGCTGAGTTCTGACCTACACTGCTCAATGGCTGGTGCTAATTTTAGGCTGTCCCATAACAGATCTGAGCAGAGAGATGGTGGGCCTCACTACTCCTACTGGGCCTGTGGTCGGCCTCCCTCCCATTTCAACAAAGCACTTCAGATGTGCCAGAATGTGCTGATATTTGGTTGGCTCACGCTCTGCTGATCGCCAAAACACCCAGTCAGCTTCTTACAGGGCCGCTGTGCCCCCGCCCCTTCGCAAATGCCACATTTTCAGGCCTGGTTCTTTTCAACCTGGTGGGTGAAGCTCAATCAGAGAGAAACCAGATGTGCTGAAGTGACGTGACTGCAGTACTGAAAGATCCACTCCACCCAGCCCAGTCCTTCCTTGTTTAGCTGTGAGGGATGAAAATACCCCTTTGCAGTAGTGCGATTGAAGTGCAACTGTTTGTAGGCTGAGGATTAGTAAAGTGGATTGTTATTGATAAACCATTACACCATTATAGTTTTCTATGTGTCTTATATTTAGCGAGTAGAGCTATAGCGGTCATACACGTTTGATGGTAAAAGCCATTATCACACCTGTATTCTCTCTGTTAGCTGACAGCTGTCTCCCCAGTGACCACACAATCCGGATGAAAATCCATTAGTAGAGGCAGAATGTGGCCAAACCACTTAACAGCATCACACGTTGGCATCTTCAATGTTGATATTTTTTTTTTTTAAGGTGCCATATCTCCTCTAATCTATAAACGTGCAGACTGAGGCGACAGCGAGACTGTCATTGTGATACACGCAATACTAAAGTTATTATTCCTGGACCATAATGTCCCAAATAATCAGTCTTAAAGGGAATACTGTGTTAGCCCTGTCTTTGGAGGATCGATTAACATTTGTGTCTCATTTTTGACAGGTTTTTCATCTCAATTCTGTTTGTCAATTGAGAGGAATTGGTGGTCTCTGTTTTATTCATTGCGTTAGTGTGTGTCCAGATGGGCCAAGCTGGGTCTCTACAGGCTGTCACTCTGATCACTCTCTGGACCATTTCCTCCTTAAGTTATTTCCAGAATGACCGCCCAGTTAATCTTTCTTTCCATAGAAATATTTACTGTGTCCTCTAGCCAATGCAGTGAAGTGTGACAGTGCGTTGATGCATGCATCACATGGAGACTCTTAACATCATTCAGCACCAACACAGTCAAGCTCTCCGTCTTATTCCAAAGGAGAAAGACAATGGCCTGGAAACTATCCTTCAAGACAAGTTATTTTTTTAGGAGTGCATTCATATGTAAAGGATATCCTGTATTCCACTGAAACGGACTGTTTGAACCCTGCCCTCTAAGCAAGGTCACATCTGTTGTGAGGTTGAATTGTTGTGTTTACGATTCTTTGGATTTATCCTGGTAACACATGTCATTCCCCACCTCTGGATCATAGTCAGTTCATCTATATACACGAAGTGTACAAAACATTAGGAACACCTTCCTAATTTTGAATTCCACCCCCGTTTGCCCACAGAACAGCCTCAATTCGTCGGGGCATGGACTCTACAAGTTGTTGAAAGCATTCCACAGGGATGCTGGCCCATGTTGACTCCAATGCTTCTTACAGTTTTGTCAAGTTGGCTGGATGTCCTTTGGGTGGTGGACCATTCTTGATACACACAGGAAACTGTTGAGTGTGAAAAACCCAGCAGCGTTGCAGTTCTTGACACACTTAAACCGATGCACCTGGCACCTACTACCATACTCCGTTCAAAGGCACTTAAATCTTTTGTCTTGCCCATTCACCCTCTGAATGGCACACATACACAATCCATGTTTCAATTGTGTCAAGGCTTAAACATCCTTCTTTAATCTGTCTTCTCATCTACACTGATTTGAAGTGGATTTAACAAGTGACATCAATAAGGGATCACAGCTTTCACCTGGATTCACCTGGTCCGTCTATAGTGCCTTCACAAAGTATTCATACCCCTTGACTTATTCCACATTTGGTTGTGTTACAGCCTGAAATCAAAATGGATTAAATATATTATTTTTCTCATCCATCTACACACAATACCCCATAATGACAAAGTGAAAACATGTTTTTAGAAATTTTTGCAAATTGAATGAAAATGAAATACAGAAATATCTCATTTACATAAGTATTCACACCCCTGAGTCAATACTTTGTAGAAACACCTTTGGCAGCTATTACAGCTGTGAGTCTTTCTGGGTAAGTCTCTAAGAGCTTTCCACACCTGGATTGTGCAACATTTGCCAATTTTTATTATTTTCAAAATTCTTCAAGCTCTGTCCAATTGGTTGTTGATCATTGCTAGACAACCATTTTCAGGTCTTGCCATAGATTTTCAAGTAAATTTAAGTCAAAACTGTAACCCGGCCACTCAGGAACATTCACTGTCTTCTTGTTAAGCAACTCCAGTGTATATTTGGCCTTGTGTTTTAGGCTATTGTCCTGCTGAAAGGTGAACTAATATCCCAGTGTCTGGTGGAAAGTAGACTGAACCAGGTTTTCCTCTAGGATTTTGCCTATGCTTAGTTCCATTCTGTTTCTATTTTATCCTGACAAACTATTCAGTCCTTATCGATTACAAGCATACCCATAACATGATGCAGCCACCACTATGCTTGAAATATGGAGAGTGGTACTCAGTAATGTGTTGTATGGGATTTGCCCCAAACATAACACTTTATATTCAGGACAAAAAGTTAATTGCTTTCCCACATTTTTTGCAGTATTACTTTAGTGCCTTGTTGCAAACAGGATGCATGTTTTGGAATATTTTTATTCTGTACAGGCTTCCTCCTTTTCACTCTGTCAATTAGGTTAGTATTGTGGAGTAACTACAATGCTGTTGATCCATCCTCAGTTTTCTCCCATCACAGCCATTAAACTCTAACTGTTTTAAAGTCCCAATTGGCCTCATGGTGAAATCCCTCAGCGGTTTCCTTCCTCTCCGACAACTAAGTTAGGAAGGATGCCTGTATCTTTGTAGTGACTGGGTGTATTGATACACCATACAAAGTGTCATTAATAACTTCACCATGCTCAAAGGGATATTCAATGTCAGGTTTTATTTTTTTATTTTTTTTACCAATCTACCAGTAGGTGCCCTACTTTGCGAGGCATTGGAAAACCTCCCTGGTCTTTGTGGTTGAATCTGTGTTTGAAATTCAAAATTCATTGCTCGACTGAGGAACCTTACAGATAATTGTACAGTGGGGAAAAAAAGTATTTAGTCAGCCACCAATTGTGCAAGTTCTCCCACTTAAAAAGATGAGAGAGGCCTGTAATTTTCATCATAGGTACACGTCAACTATGACAGACAAATTGAGAAAAAAAATCCTGAAAATCACATTCTAGGATTTTTAATGAATTTATATGCAAATTGTGGTGGAAAATAAGTATTTGGTCACCTACAAACAAGCAAGATTTCTGGCTCTCACAGACCTGTAACTTCTTCTTTAAGAGGCTCCTCTGTCCTCCACTCGTTACCTGTATTAATGGCACCTGTTTGAACTTGTTATCAGTATAAAAGACACCTGTCCACAACCTCAAACAGTCACACTCCAAACTCCACTATGGCCAAGACCAAACAGCTGTCAAAGGACACCAGAAACAAAATTGTAGACCTGCACCAGGCTGGGAAGACTGAATCTGCAATAGGTAAGCAGCTTGGTTTGAAGAAATCAACTGTGGGAGCAATTATTAGGAAATGGAAGACATACAAGACCACTGATAATCTCCCTCGATCTGGGGCTCCATGCAAGATCTCACCCTGTGGGGTCAAAATGATCACAAGAACGGTGAGCAAAAATCCCAGAACCACATGGGGGGACCTAGTGTATGACCTGCAGAGAGCTGGGACCAAAGTAACAAAGCTTACCATCAGTAACACACTACGCCGCCAGGGACTCAAATCCTGCAGTGCCAGACGTGTCCCCCTGCTTAAGCCAGTACATGTCCAGGCCCGTCTGAAGTTTGCTAGAGTGCATTTGGATGATCCAGAAGGGGATTGGGAGAATGTCATATGGTCAGATGAAACCAAAATAGAACTTTTTGGTAAAAACTCAACTCGTCGTGTTTGGAGGACAAAGAATGCTGAGTTGCATCCAAAGAACACCATACCTACTGTGAAGCATGGGGGTGGAAACATCATGCTTTGGGGCTGTTTTTCTGCAAAGGGACCAGGACGACTGATCCGTGTAAAGGAAAGAATGAATGGGGCCATGTATCGTGAGATTTTGAGTGAAAACCTCCTTCCATCAGCAAGGGCATTGAAGATGAAACGTGGCTGGGTCTTTCAGCATGACAATGATCCCAAACACACCGCCCGGGCAACGAAGGAGTGGCTTCGTAAGAAGCATTTCAAGGTCCTGGAGTGGCCTAGCCAGTCTCCAGATCTCAACCCCATAGAAAATCTTTGGAGGGAGTTGAAAGTCTGTGTTGCCCAGCGACAGCCCCAAAACATCACTCCTCTAGAGGAGATCTGCATGGAGGAATGGGCCAAAATACCAGCAACAGTGTGTGAAAACCTTGTGAAGACTTACAGAAAACGTTTGACCTGTGTCATTGCCAACAAAGGGTATATAACAAAGTATTGAGAAACTTTTGTTATTGACCAAATACTTATTTTCCACCATAATAATGCAAATAAATTCATAAAAAATCCTACAATGTGATTTTCTGGATTTTCTTTCTCAATTTGTCTGTCATAGTTGACGTGTGTACCTATGATGAAAATTACAGGCCTCTCTCATCTTTTTAAGTGGGAGAACTTGCACAATTGGTGGCTGACTAAATACTTTTTTTCCCCCACTTTATGTGTGGGGTACAGAGATGAGGTAGTCATAAAAAAATTATGTTAATCACTATTATTTCACAGTGAGTCCATGCAACTTATTATGTGACTTGTTAAGCAAATCTTTACACCTGAACATATTTAGGCTTGCCATAACAATGGGGTTGAATTCTTATTGACTCTTTTCATTTTTAATTAATTTATTAAAATGTCTATGAACATAATTCCACTTTGACATTATGTGGTATTGTGTGTAGGCCAGTGACAAAACAATCTCAATTTAATCGATTTTTAAATTCAGGCTGTAACACAACACAATGTAGATAAAGTCACTTTCTGAAGTGCACTGTATATCATGGAAAGAGTAGGTGTTCCTAATGTTTTGTACACTCAGTGTACATATGGAGTAGGATTACAGGTCTCTGTATATATCCTTGATGCAGGGTTAGGGTCAATTCCATTTAAATTCCAGTCATTTCAGCAAGTACACTAAAATACAAATTCTCTTCTATGCTTTTCAATGAGGAAAAATGTGCATTTGAATTGGAGTTTGGTTCACTTTTTGAACTGACTGGAGTTTAAATGGAAATAACCCCAATCCTGCTTTGTTGTGTGTTTCTGTATCAAACCTCTATCATCATTCTCCACAAAACAGAGGTTATCAGAGGTTTTCCAATTTGTTTTATCTACAGGGACAGAGTGCATGGTGACAGTGCAGAGGTTATTTTCTCTGGACAGTGATTTGAGAGCATTTTAACCTGTTGTGTATAGCAGGCAGCTATGTTTAGTGGCTCCCTCGGGAACTACTAACTTGTGCACTAAACAAACACCATTTCCAGATACAGACAAAGCTCTTCTGAGCCTGATGAACTTTGGTTTACTAAACCCCAAGATCAGCACACAGGCAAATTCAATAATACTGAAAGAATCTCTAAATTATTCGGCAGGATTCTCTAATAAAAGTCCAGATAAATGTTTTCCTTTGTTCCTCTGCTGCTACAGTGCCTTCAGAAAGTATTCACACCCCTTGACATTTTGTTGTGTTACAGACTGAATTGTAAATGGATTAAATTGCGATTTTGTGTCACTGGCTTACACACAATACCCCATAATGTAAAAGTGGAATTAAGCTGAAATGTCTTCAGTCAATAAGTATTCAACCCCTTTTCTTATGGCAAATGTGCTTAACAAGTCACATAATAAGTTGCATGGACTAACTCTGTGTGCAATAATTGTGTTTTACATTATCTTTTTAATGACTACCTCATCTCTGTACCCCACACATACAATTATCTGTAAGGTCCCTCAGTCGAGCAGTGAATTTCAAACACCGATTCAACCACAAAGACCAGGGAGGTTTTCCAATGCCTCGCAAAGAAGGGCACCTATTGATAGATTGGTTAAAAAAAATTGAAGCAGACATTGAATATCCCTTTCAGCATGATGAAGTTATTGATTACACTTTGGATGGTGTGTCAATACACCCAGTCACTACAAAGATACAGGTGTCCTTCCTAACTCAGTTGCAGGAGAGGAAGGAAACCGCTCAGGGATGAGGCCAATGGTAACTTTAAAACAGTTACAGAGTTTAATGGCTGTGATAGGAGAAAACTGAGGACAACATTGTAGTTACTCCACAATACTAACCTAAATGACAGAGTGAAAAGAAAGAAGCCTGTACAGTTTTGGAATACAAATATTCCAAAACATGCATCCTGTTTGCAATCAGGCACTAAAGTAAAACTGCAAAAAAAATTGCAAAAAAATGAACTTTATGTCCTGAATACACAACGCATTATGTTTGGGGTAAATCCAACACAACACATCACATCACTGAGTACCACTCTTCATATTTTCAAGCATGGTGTTGGCTGCATCATGTTATGGGTATGCTTGTCATCGGCAAGGACTAGGGAGTTTTTTGGAGAATAAAAATAAATGGAATAGAGATAAGGCACAGGCTAAATCCTAGAGAAAATCTGGTTCAGTCTACTTTCCAACAGACATTTAGTGACAAATTCACCTTTCAGCAGGACAATAACCAAAAACACAAGGCCAAATATACGCAAGAGTTGCTTACCAAGACGACATTGAATGTTCCTGAGTGGCCTAATTACAGTTTTGACTTAAATCAGCTTGAAAATCTATTGCAAGACTTAAATGGCTGTCTAGCAATGATCGACACCTTGACAGAGCTTGAAGAAATTTAAAAATAATAATGTGCAAATATTGTACAATCCAGGTGTGCAGACTTACCCAGAAAGACACAGCTGTAATCGCTGCCAAAGGTGCTTCTACAAAGTATTGACTGAGGGGTGTGTGAATACTTATGTAAATGATGTATTTTTGTATGTCATTTTCCAAAAATTTGCTAAAATGTCTAAAAGGTTGTTTTCACTTTGTCATTATGTGTTGATCGGTGAGAAAAAACAGTTAATCAATTTTTTATTCAGGCTGTAACACAACAAAATGTGGAATAAGTGAAGAGGTATGAATACTTTCTGAAGACACTGTACATCTTGCCTATACCACTCACAGCACCCAGTTGTTGGTTTATTTAAGCACTGTTATGCAATGTTATTAGAATGTATTAATTACAGCTCTATTGCACAATTCTAACCGTTTTGAGGTTAGTTGAGGGGAGACTGTCAGATTCCCTCTACCACCATCCAGCCACATAGTGTTTGAGAGTAAACCCATCTTCTCAATGACTCTGTTACTGCACAGTGGAAACAGGAAAACTGCATTTTCTCTTTGTTTGTCCCACAGAGCTGTAGCTGAGCTTCTTTGTTAAATGTTTTACATTGATTTAACCTATGAAAAAGTAAAAGCATTAGACAACTTACAGGGTTGGTTCAGGGACAGCCATCCTAGAGTTGATTATATGATATTTAATATGAATCTAAATGTGTGTGTGTGTGTGGGAGGAGGGGGGTGTTTGTGTGAAAATGTGACCTTGTGCAGAATGTCCGTTTCCGCTTTGAAGTTGATGAATTGCTCAACATGCCGGACAGACCTGCCTGGACATTTCCTTAGCAACAGCCTTGTAGTCCGATAAATAAGCTTGACTGAGGATTTAGCCTATTGTGAAATCCTCTTCACTCAATGTTAGGATGTTTGCCTGCTTTTTCACGCTACCAATGAAAACTAATCAGCTTTTTTTTTTAAGCATGTTTATTCCAGAGCCATGTAAATAACTGTCTCTGTGTCATTCCATTCAGAAAGAACAATATTTTATTTTATATTAGTTCATAAGTAAGAAATAACATATTTTTAAGACATGTTTGATAGTTTTATGGATGGTAACATTGGATGGTAAATTATCATGGTCGAGTCATATTGACAAAGTTGTTGTGAAGATGGGGAGGGGTGTGGCTGTTTATAAAAAATATGTTTTGCATTTTTGACACATCAACTGTACTAGTTGTTCAGGCTCTGGTCTTGTCACATCTTGATTACTGTCTAGTAATATGGTCAAGTGCAGCAAAGAAAGGCCTAGCAAAGCTGCAGCTGGCTCAAAACAGAGCAGCACGGCTTGCCCTGAAATGCACATACAGAACTAACATCGACAACATGCATGTCAGTCTTTCCTGCTTGAGGGTTGACGAGAGATTAACTACTAATCTTGTAGTTTTTATGAGAAATGTTACTGTGATAAAATTTCCAGATTGTCTGCATAATCAAATAACATTCAGCTCGGACACCCATACATACCCCACAAGACATGCCACCAGGGGTCTCTTCACAGTCCCCAAGTCCAAAATGAATTAACAGCAACGCACAGTATTATACAGAGCCATGATCGCATGGAACTCCCTTCTATCTCCAATTACTCAAGCAAACAGCAAAATTACCTTTAAAAAACGGATTAAACAACATCTCATGGAACGGCGAGGACTGTGAGGGGGCACACACAGACACACTCTAACAAGCACATCATTTTTGTTGTTGTATTGTTTATATACATTTTTAGTTGTATTGTTTGTATATGGGTTTATTTTAAATATGTGTGACTGTCCTTGTCTATCAGTGTTTTGTTACTTGTCGTGTTTGGTGTTTTCTGCAAAAGCTATTTTACTGAAATGTATTTTGGTCTGGATGATGGGTTAGTGTGTGTCCATTGACAGTGATTTCCAGGCCTCTGTATCTGTGTGAGAGGAAGTGTTTTTCACCCAGTGTCACTGCTGTTGTATAATCTGACAGACACACAGTGTGGCCTTTCACATTGGCTTCCCATATATTCCCCTGGCCTGCAGTGGCCTGCTCCTCCAGAGTAAACACAGTGGTTTCTCTCTGCAGGGCGCAGTGTGTTTGTTCAGGTTGTCATTGTATCTAGGTGTCACACTGTCAGCTTGACTCAGCCAGGCCCCAGACACTCCACAGGGCTGGGTTTGTTCTGCCTGCCACACTTCTGGATTCCTTTTTCCTGTTTTCTAGCAGAGGTGAACTACTTATCTCTGTGTATCCTCTTCTGAAAATACAGTAGGCTCTGTCAGATTCCTGGTATTTCAACACTGAAGCCTTACAGACAAACAAACCACAGCTTGTATCTCCCACACAGAAACGGCCAAAAATGATAGACATTGTTGGTGAGTCAAGGTATCAATAAAAGGGATTGAGCCCTTCTTGATGCAATTCTAGATGAATAATAGAGGGAAACATGTAGTCTACACAACAGCAGCTATAATACCAAAATAGACCACGGTGTTGCATTGTCTGCATATACTTCCTCCCAGAATGTCCACTTTTGCTGTGATTATGAATAAGAGGGGGTGTTTACTGGTCTTTTGCCAACACTTACGAACCAAAGAGAATAGGAAGAGCTGAGATTAGTCCTCTCTCTCTCTCTGTCTGCTCTACAAACAGAGAGGTCTACTGTAGCCTTAGCCACTTCCCTACACCTTGGATCTATTCACTCAGAAGGAACCAGAAAAACAACACAGCCACAATTAGACAGGGTTGAGAAGGAAGGAGAGGAGAAGAGATAATAACAGGCGGAGGAACTCCTATTGACCCAATTATCTGATCCTCAGGTTACTGGTTCACTTCTGACTACTGAGTGATCAATAAGAAGGAATTCCTCTGATTGCTCTGATACTAGTCTGTTCCCTCCCTAGAGTAATTTTTTGTAATCCATTGAGTTGATATGTAAATAAAGAATTACTATGGTTAAGCCCCTGTCCAGTATAACTACTGGCACATCTGTACAGTTACAGTAGTTTGTGTAGCCCACTGAGAGTAGAGGGACTGACATGAATGATTTTCTGTACCACACAAGTGAGTCAGTATTTTTGCTGCAATTCTCCTGGCTTATCCTCTGCTGTGGAACTACCCCTGACTGTGTGTCTGGCACAGTCTGTGGTAGATTTGGCAAAGCTGCACACTGCCTGCTGAAGGTCAGAGGGGATTTGAAGCACAGAGACAGGGACTGTATTGGAATAGAGCACGCTAGAGGTTGGATGACACAGCTGTATTTTCAGCCTGTGGGCCATTATAATTATTTTCAATAATCAGTAGCTTCTAGATAATACCATTGCTATACAGATTAATAACTTTTTTAAGCCCTTGTGTTTGTATGATGTAAGACCTATTTTGGTTATTTTTGTGTCTGTATAATGTTCTTATCAACAAAGGATTATGACTAGAATGTTTGAGAGGGAGATGAAAATGGATCAATACTTTCTAACTTCCTTCCACTGTCTGTTCAGTGGCAGTAGTGGTGTATTAGATGAGAATAGGTTTTCTTGCCTGTGAAGTGATGTGGTCAAAGAGAGCGAGATTCACGCTGTGCCACTGCCTGAAATGCCTTGCTGCCATGAAAATAGTTATTAAAATCCCCCACCTAACCGCCTCCTTCTGTGTGTCATTATCCCAGAAGCCCCCTACAGTGGGACCCCTCCTTCCTATGGCTATCTGGAGCAGACAGAGGAGCACCAGCATCATGACCTCCTGCCTTTCAGCACCTCGCCCTCCTCCTCACCTCGCCTCCGCTCCAAGAGCCGCAGCAGCCGGGACACACAGTCATCTGGCTCCCTGGAGTCCACCTTGTCGGTAATGTTATCACCAGTCCTACTACTACATACTTCAACTACCACACACTTCATCTCCTACCTTTAAAGCCCCTGTCTCGGATTTTCCATTCAGTGCAGCAATCTGTTAATGCTCCCGTCCGCTAGCACTACTTCCACCTTTATAAGTGTGCCCTGGGCTCTGCATGTATTTAATAGGGAGATGTTCTGCTCTTTCCAACCACACTTTCACTCACCCTATAAATCTCATCCACCCCTACTGTACTGTACCTAGCCAATCTCCGGTGTCCCCTGGGTCGTCCTCCTCTGATGTGCGCCACTCTCTGATCTTCAAAGGTTAAATCCAGGGGGAGGGCTCCTCTTGTGCCCCCTTCCATGTTCAGGCTGTGGAATGTCAGAGCTATTCATTCCTGCTCTGCTCTCTATGCACGAGCGCCATATCGACAGACTGTCAGAAACCTAACTGACTGATGCCTTTGACCCATCAATAACTACAGGTCTCATCCTAGGCTAGGAAAACAATTGTTTCTCTCCACAATAGAATGGATCTTTGACCCTGGCCTCCACATCTCCCACAGGGTTTCATCGAATGTGTTGGGATCCCTAGAGAGGACGGTCTCTCCTCCTTACTGTTTACAGAGGTCCCATTGAACAACCACAGGGATTTGGGAAGATCTGCTCCAGTTAGAATTAGAATCCCAAGATGAGCCTGGTAGAAGTGAAAACCCTGTCGGTCTGTCTCTCTCTCTCCCATTCACTGTCTCTTTCTCTCATTCTCACACACAGACAGAGCTGGATCAGGAGAAAGAGTTGGAGATGCGGAAATGGGTTCTGTCAGGGATCTTGGCCAGTGAGGAGATGTATCTCAGTCACCTGGGGGCTATCTTACTGGTGAGAGACTGAGGACTTTGAGCTGTGCTGTTGTTGTTAAATCTTAGGCCCTGAGTAATCACTCAACTAATTGAATATGGCACACCTCACTGTTGAACATGTTGGATAGACACACAGAGACCCATCTGTACACACACACACACACACACACTCACACTCTCTCACACACACACACACAGTAATGCTTTGTCTTGCATTGATTGTCCCAGCCCATGAAGCCTCTGAGGGCAGCGGCCACCACCTCCCAGCCGATGCTGACCATCCAGCAGATAGAGACTATCTTCTTCAAGGTGACAGAGCTCCATGAGATCCACAAGGACTTCTACGATGCCCTGCTACCCAGAGTTCAGGAGTGGAGCCACAACCAGTGTGTGGGCGATCTATTCCAGAAACTGGTGAGCCTTATTATTGTTGTGTAAAGACCTAGGAAATGCTGTTGTGGTTCTTTTGTGTTAGTTCTTCCGGGTGCTTTTGTTCATAACTACAAAAACATGAGAATAAACTTCCCCAGCCGTAAACAGTATTGTGCTCTGAGTAAGCAGATATGTATCCAGTCTAGGGCTGTGACGGTGACTGTATTACCGCCACATTGCCATGTGACCGTTAAGTCACGATAACTAGTCTTCTCCAAAACTGCGCTCTGATGCCACTGATGGTCAATAGTATCCTACCAAACTTGCTAACGGCCAGTCGCTAATGGCCTGGTACTCAGCGCTGTATTGTCCCTCTAATATACTCTGACATCAATGCAAATGCAATCGAAAATCTAGTCATGAGAGCCCTGGCTTTCAGAGTTTCAGATGAATAGGATAACCTGTTGCGCAGCGAGAGCCAGCTCCTCATAGCTGGTTGATGCATGGAATTAAAGGTGTTCCTATAAGCCCATGTTGCGGAACATTATTATACGCAATGCAATTCAATTGGTTGAGAAAATAGTTTTGATGGCCTCTATTAAAATGATGAGGATCCCATCAGCTTTATAAAAGCTAGGCCTACTATATTTATTTCTAAACTTTCCTAATATTAAGCACATTGCATTGCTTTGCTTTACAACTGGAGTAGCCTACCTGGCTGGCATGAAAATGAACCGCGGGAAAAGTGTCCTCCTCCATTCACTATTCGACTACATACAGATTATTTTTCTCCTCCTGCCTCTGTTCCAGCAGGTGCATGATAATGTCCCATTCTAAATAAAAAATTATTTCACACATACATTATCTAGTATATATAAAGACAAAATTGAGAATAGTCTGATGGGTAAGAATATTGTCAATTGTGAATGATACCCAGCTTGTGCAGTCTATGCAAGAAACAGTGCATGCATTTTTTCGCATGCATCATGTAGCCTAGCCCATAGGCCTATATGTTTAGATAAATTGTGAATGAGAAACTGATGAAGTGTGTGCAGCCTGCGCAAGAAACAGACCAGAGCTCATGCCTTTCATACAACTTTTTTCAAATCAATATTAGTCGCATCATGCAGCCTTAGAATGTATTAAAAAACAAAACATATAGGGCCTCCCGAGTGGCGCAGTGGTCTAAGGCACTGCATCGCAGTGCTAGCTGTGCCACTAGAGATCCTGGTTCGATGATCATTTTGTTAAATGCTCAACACAGAATAGCCACATGCCCGCACTCCCTCAGAAATCGTTTGGGGAAAAATATCCTTTCTATTTTATTAAGCTATGTTCAATTGTATTCTTCTTACTATAAAATAATATCAAATAATGCCACAGGAATTATAAGCAAATCTTGTCTGCTGAATGAACTAGTGTAGCCCACAGCCATATGGCATAGCCAGATTAGGGCCTAACATAAGGAAGACACAGAATATGCTATTCTGTTCTTCTGAAATAGGCTACATTTTCTTCATATCATAATGTTTCTTTAGACCTGCCTAAAATAAACAATGGATTTATTGTGATGGCTATATTACATGGATTTATTAGACTTTTTCAAATGTACATGTTCCAAAGGTCTGCATCAGTGGCTTGTATGCATGGAGGCCTGGAGATGCTAAACGTGTTTATATTAATTAACGGTAATTACCATAAGACCGGCAGATATTTGCATGACCTTATCGCTGACACAATGTCATGACCGACACAGTCACAGTCAGTCACTTTTAGAGACAATGCATCATAACTCCCCTGTAGACTTCATTTGATCATTTAATAATACTGAAGGGAGAGGAAGAGATTTAAGGAATAAAAAGTGGGAGTTAGACTGGCATTAATGTGCAGTGGATGCTGACGCCACATGTGAGCAGACTGCCTGGAGACATCTCCCGCACAGATAAAAGCCTGGGTTTACCACATGACAGCCAGTAAAGGAGGACAAAACACTAAGAGGCTCCTGAGAGCTGCCTCAGTATGACGGTGGAGGAAAAGAAGATGCATGAAACAAAAGTACATGTGCACACAAACAACACACATTCAGCAGCGAGCTTGCACACATAGACACAGTCACACAAAACGGTCAACTTGTGTAAGACTGATGGGATGCATGTTTTTTAAATGCTGTTTCTATTGAACTGCCGTACCTCATCTGATCCCTATATTCAGCACCATGAGAAGGGAGAAAACAACAGAACTAGTTTGACACGAGTAGAGAGCAGCCAAAGCTGGGTGCATGAATCAACAGCAGGTTAACTACCACATGCTACATCCTATCTACTCTCTATTGTCTCTCTCCACTAAAGGCCAGCCAGCTGGGAGTGTACAGGGCCTTTGTGGATAACTATAAGGTTGCTGTGGAGACGGCAGACAAGTGCTGCCAGGCCAACGTACAGTTTGCTGAAATATGTGAGGTAGGTATTGCACCACACACAGCAGGATAGAAGGGAGGGGTATTTGGGAAGTGGGCACTCTTAACACTCCTTACTGTGACCATTATGTTGAACTTTTACAAGGGTGATGTTTCTGTTAGAACACATTCTGTTATGGGTAATGAAATTGTGTTACTGTGCTGTGTTGAAATTATGTTGTTCTTGGACACACTTGTATGACTTTCTCAATTCCTGTTGTGCCCTCAGAATCTTAAGGTCAGAAGCTCCAAGGAATGCAAAGACCAGGCAAAAAATTCACTGGAAAGTAAGTGCGATTTTATTATTTTGTACTATTCCGGGTCAAATTAACTAAACCTTACATTTAAATATCAATAGTTCAAGACTATGAATAATTCAAACCTGTAGTTATTTTAATTATTTTTAGAAAGAGTGGTACATGCTTAAGCATATCGAATTTGACCCTCAGCCTCAATGTGTCCTATGTTGTTAGTTCTGCTTTGCCTTGTCCTGCCTTGGGCCTTATGCACTTTATGAACCTCTCCTCCTCAGCTCTGCTTTACAAACCAGTGGACAGAGTCACCCGCAGCACCCTGGTTTTGCATGTAAGTCAAATCAACACACTGGAGATTTTTCCCCTTCGGTCGTGAACTTCTGATTTTGTATATAGAAACAATGCTTCTTCACATCCATTAGAAGAAGTCATCATAATTGAATTCAGATTAATCCCCCCCTCTCTCGCTCTCTTCTTTCTCTCTCTCTCCCGCTCTCAGGACCTGTTAAAACACACCCCCTCCAGCCACCCAGACTATCCACTGCTGCAGGACGCCCTTAGAATCTCCCAGAACTTCCTCTCCAGTATCAATGAGGAGATCACCCCACGCAGGCAGTCCATGACAGTGAAGAAGGGAGAGGTCAGTCAGTGTAAAAGGCTGCGACATCATGAGGTGACATGCTGTGTGTCTGCGTGTCTCCACGGATTAGCTTTTTCTATGGCTTTACGACCTAATGAGAACATGTTTTCTTTCCAAACTAGATTACATTGTGCATTCACTCACTCAGTGTGTATACACTTGCTATTGTGGTTATATTGAATGCAGTACAGCTTGTAGATGTATTATTTATCTTTCTGGAATAGAGAAAGATGTCACAGTAGGAGGGGTACCGTTTGTTCCCTACATAGACATAGGCCGGTTGTTCTCAATGCCAAGGAGACATCCAGTGGTTTGACAAGTAGGCACATAGAGGCACAGAGTAGAGGTCTTCTTGGGTCCAAAAAGTTGGATCCGGACCCGAACAGACCCAATTCTTTCTTTTTTTTTAAAAGGGGGACCCGAACCCGACAATTGACCCGACGACAACCGACCTAGACCCAACCCGTACCCTAACAGGTCTGGGTCTAGACCGGACCTGAGTGACCTTTGTTCTTTTTATCAGACAAGTTGCTCTTCTGGTTAACGAATAGGTCTTTATATGTTGGCTAAGCCTTCTATAAGTCAGTAAATGCACCTTTATTAGCGTAAAATAAATATGCTATAGGCTATGCAGAGCCGTGGTTTGGTCCACTCGGGTCTATCAGCTGTAGTTACATAGACCCGAGACCCGATGACAATCAAACAGGACCTGACCCGGACCCGAGGGAAAAGTTCGAATTTTGGACCTGGACACACTCGGGTCCTGGGTCGGGTCTTGGGTATTCGGGTTTTGGTGGACCCATGAAGACCTCTAGCACAGAGTCAGACACCCAGACCCGGACCTGTGGCTCTCTGGCCCTCCCTTATATTGCTTTCTTACTTGGCTTCATTTCATTCTGCCACTTTGATGTCACATTGCACATTCCCGTCAGCAAAATAGTGTCTCATTACACAGCTTGTTTCAAGATAAGGAATCATCAACACAGGTTCATAGTCATACATTAGGCATCTAAGAGTTACTGTAAATTAGCCAATCAGTGCTTCTCAGTAGTAGTATAAACATTAAAAGCCAGGAGAATGGTGTGTCTGGAAACTCTAATAAAACTGTGTTGTTAGTCAGATTCCTGCTGAGTCATCTGTGTCTGTCTGGTTTATTAGTGGAGGAAGTGGAGCGTAGAGGAAGCTCATGATAAAGAAGTATAAACAGGGAGGGCAAGGGTCTCCACGGTTCTGACCAGGAAAGCCCATTGCACCGCCTACGTCCCTGTCCTGGCTCCCCTACTCCCATCCTCCGGTATTAGTCTCTGATGTCTGTTTCCCAGCAATGACCTGTAAGCATGTCTTATCAAGCATCGGTCCACCCTTCCGAGTGGACGCACGCACTAGAACTTCCTCTATTATTATTGGAAACCTGCCCCACTATGACCATCAGACATCTTATTATAAGTAAACGTGATACTGGAACTCAGACAAATGTAACTGCTCTATTGTAGTATTCCACAATTCATAGGCCTGTACAGTGGCGGCTCCTGAAAAAATTCTCAGGGGGGGCAATTTTTCTGATGATTTAGGTGACCTACACACATTTTAAAAAAGATATGTCCAGCAACAACATGAAGACAGGGGCAGCATATAAGTCAATACCAGAAGCATTTATTGACTGATCTCAAAAGTGTTGGCTTACCAGGGTTGGTGGAGCCCTCAGTTTCATCTTTGCCTCGCAAAGCTAACTCAAACACTCCGCAAAACTTCACACACTGGATTAGCCGGCTGAGGATGTGGCGGTTCTTGCTAATGTCGTAGTAAATATATTTGTTATAGTGAATATGGAATATGATATGTTGAGTAAAATGTTGTGCTAAGATCTATTTAGGTCAGGAGCTGGTTATAAATTCTGTTCCTATCCAATAACAATGGACAAAAGGGTCCTATCTTGTCAGCCTTGTCAGTTTCAGTTCTCCAGTAAACTTGTGATTATCAACACTAACCTCATCGTTGTGGCGGCGGACAGCTAGCCTGTATCCCTCATCCAGTTGAGTGGGAATGTTCACTCTCTCCAAAGCAGACAATCTCAAACAGCTATCCATGTGGGTCTTTGACAGCTCATGTTTCTTAATCTTTCCTGAAAGATGGTGCATGTCCGTTACACACCAGTCGCTGTCCAAGCGGTGCTGTCTGCCGTGCCGCCTTCAGGGTGAAAGAGTAAGCAGGGGGTAGCAGAAGACTGCATTAGCTACATCGCAGCCTGCTAGCCAGGTTTTTCGTTCGTACCAATTTTTGGAAAATCCTCGGGTGTAGGACTTCCCCCCTTTAGTAGAAACCTGTTGAATTATTAAATTTGGTCTGGGAGGTCCTAATTGTTTCGTTGCCAATTTATCTTCATTTGTTCGCCGACAAAAAGGAACTTCTTTCAAAGACACAATCGAGTTGCACTGAAGCCTAGCCATTTTTACAGTAGTAGTGAATTGATTGATGAGGCTACCCGCTCTTTTCTTAGTTACGTTCATGGTTACGTTACGTATGACGAAAGCGCGTAAGTGCAAGCCCTCAGAAACCCATAGAGATTGTATTGAAAGCTCTGATATTTGAAAAAAATAGATTTTACATGGGAGTCTATGACAGACTTCTGGGCGATTTTCAACCTGACTGAAATCGCCCCAAAAGGGGGGGGGGCCATTTGAAGCACGACTTTAGCCTGATTGGACATTTAGTGGCACTGTGGCAGATCAGACGTCTAGATTACAACACTGATAACTACTGTTGCCGTGATATAATTGATTAGAAAAAAAATCCCTTCCTTTTCCCGTTTGGCAGTGCGTCGCCCATATCGCCCTATTGAACACACCGCCCCTGGGCCTGTATATGCTAAAGACAAAATAAATGTAGTACTTGTAAGTGACTAGCTAAAAGTATATACTGTGGTGATTGAAATCCAGGGTTCGGTTTAGTTGGGCCTCTCTTACCAATTTTGTCAGCAGATATCTCAAAATGGAGGATGACTATGTCAGAAATTAACCGATGCGAATGTCAATACAGTGACCATGAATCCATTAAGGCCCCTCCCTGGTGCAGTTTTCCTAGTTTTTGCTTAAATGTGGTTAGGATGGGTTGGTAGAGTCTCATGTGGGTAATATAAATATAAGTAGCTTTCAGCCCGGAGTGTATAAGGTCAGTATAAACAGTCCATGCATCCACAGCCCCGCTCTGACCAAAGGAACAGCAGATGTCACTGCAGCAGTCACCAACTGCCAACTGGAATGGCTAGCCAGGCAGGATTATAGGAAGTCCTGAGGGGTATACTACAAAGCAGAGCCAAGGAGTTAGCCAGATAACTTCCCTAAATGTTCTGAAATAACTTATTTCTTTCTTTTTTGGGGAAATGGGCATGGTCTAATTGACTCAACAACCAAAAACATGTTTAGCTTTCTTAATGAATCAGAAAATCAACAGTTATTTCTGGTTGTTTATCAAAGTTAGCTGACTAACTATATAATTGAATCTGCTTTGTAGTATACCCCTCTGGAATTAGGATCTATTCCTGTAAACACAGGCTCTTTGATAACAAAGCCACTGATTAACCTAACAACCCTTAATTTACACATTTTACAACAAGGTCTCAACTTTGTTTGAGGACATAGAGTTTTCTGAGGTTCAGTTCTTTCCTTGTGACAAGAAGAGACTACTCATCCCAGCAGCCTCTGTTATTTTGCAGAACCAACAGACTGTCAGCTCAGATCATTGCTTAAATATTATATTACTGTTCAGTGCAAGTAGTCATTTTGGAGATTCTCCTCCTGAGTCCTGTCGAGAGCCGATCATGCCACATTCATCAGATAGTAGTTCCACTGGGGGGCCATAGTTACATGTTGTTACCATGTGTTGTGTGATGGTGAAACATAGGGTACATTCATTGCTCTAACGTTTCATCTCTACCGTAGGATGACATTGATATTGAATCCTTATTCTTAATGTGAAAAGTTCTGCTGGCATGTAGTTTGGTTTGTTTTGCCGACTGGCATAAGCACCAGGAAGCATCCTCTAGGTCTAGGACCCTCATGATCTAGAGTCACATTGTGAAAGCAACTTGACAGGGAAATTATTGGAAAATGGCTTTTCATCGAGAAATCTTCACACTCTGTGGCAGTATGGTAACAAATTCTAGCAAATATGAATAGATTTTTAAAAATCCAATGAATGTGTGATTCACTGTTTGCCCCTGTAGAACCGTCAGCTGTTGAGGGACTGCTTCATGGTGGAACTGGTGGAGGGATCCAGAAAGCTTCGCCACGTCTTCCTCTTCACAGACTTACTACTCTGTGCCAAGCTGAAGAAACAGACTGCAGGGTGAGTGTAGATTTACTGATGGACCAGATGGTTTGTGTAATATCCTATGTCTGTGTGGTGTTCCTTACCTGTGTCTGTTGTTCGATAGTTTGTGTGTGTGTGTTTGTCTCCAGGAAAGGCCAGCAGTATGACTGTAAGTGGTACATCCCGCTGTCAGACCTCACCTTCCAGACCATCGAGGACTCTGAGGCCACCCCCATCCCCCAGGTCCAGGAAGAGGAGATTGACGCCATGAAGATCAGGATCTCACAGATCAAGAATGAGATGCAGAGAGAAAAGGTGACAACAGACATCAGAAAGAGAGAAAATCACTTTATTTGAATAATATTGAAACCCTTGATCAGATCATGGCTTCATAAGAGAAGGAGCCAGCAATGACAGAGACCGTGCGTTGATACAGCAACAAGTGTCTGAGTGCTGTTCTTCTGTATGTGTATGTGCAGAGAACCACTAAAGGTGGGAAAGCAATAGAGCGTTTGAGGAAGAAGCTGTCGGAGCAGGAGTCTCTGCTGCTGCTCATGTCCCCCAGCATGGCCTTCAGAGTGGCCAACAGGAACGGCAAGGTGAGCCAGCCACTTACTGCTTACTCTCTCTCTCTGTACCTATGGTTCTGCCAGGTCATATCTAACAACTACACAGCCCACTGTTTGTACTGTGAAATATTTTGGTCTAGGATCTGGTGCCCCCTACAGGTGTAGAGATGTGGTACAGTATTTCCAAGCGGTCTATTGTGTTATACAGCAGAGGGCTACATGTTCCTGAGCTTTGTCTGTTTCAGGGCTTCACATTCCTGATCTCCTCTGATTACGAGCGTGCGGAGTGGAGGGAGATCATCCGGGAGCAACAGAAGAAGTGTGAGTGTTCTCTGCAACATAAGCTATGGTTGCTACAATCCCATGACTGAGCTGATGGTGGCTGTCAGTCTCTCTCTGAACTCCATTCTCTCCTGCAGGTTTCAAAAGCTTCTCTCTGACCTCTCTGGAGCTGCAGATGCTCACCAACTCATGTGTGAAGCTTCAGACGGTCCATACTATACCAATGACCATGAATAAAGAAGGTAGGCCATTGACACAAAACTGATACAGTATTAGTAAGAATGGAAGGCTGGTCAGTAATCTAACACTTATAATAATATATTTAATTTAATATTTTACCTTTATTTAACTAGGCAAATCAGTTAAGAACTAATTCTTATTTACAATGACAGCCTACACTGGCCAAACCCGGACAACGCTGGGCCAATTGTGCGCCGCCCTATGGGCTCCCAATCACGGCCGGTTGTGATATAGCCTGGAATCGAACCAGGGGGTCTGTAGTGACGCCTCAAGCACTGAGATGCAGTGCCTTAGACCACTGCGCCACTCGGGAGAGAGGGAGTTGTTTATTAGTATTGTTTTTTATTTAAACAACTCCTGACTGTTCTCTCTCCTCTCTTTAGAAGATGAATCCTCTGGACTCTATGGTTTTCTGAATGTCATTGTTCACTCTGCATCAGGACTCAAACAGAGCTTGAGTAAGTGGCTCAGTTGTGTTTTCCATATTGTTGGTGTCCTACCCTGATCACCATGAAAGGAGTATAGCCAAGGCCGCCCTTCCCTTCCGCTGTCAGTCCCCTCAAGTCCGGCTGTCACCTGGCAGTCAGCTGGCATTCCCATGTGGAGCAGCTGCTGGGGAACAGTCAGAACTCACAGGAATAACGAGGAACACTGTACTCCAGCCATGGCCAGTCTGGGATGGAAAACCCCTGTCGTTTCACTCTTTGTCCTAAGTACAGTCAGGCGTACAGCTCACATACATACAGTATCTCTTATCTTATACAAAATCTGACCTGTTAATCCAGATGTAATCTTCTGGACGGGAACTCTTTCCCTTAAAACATACCAGATTCAGAGGGCATGGCAAGTTCCATTGTGAGGATTGTCAGAAAGAATGGTTTAACAGTGTAGCGTAAAGTACATACAGGACAGTCCTACTGTGACTCAGTAGCCATGGTAACTCCCATTAACTGTCTCTTCTACCACACAGATCTCTACTGCACTCTGGAGGTGGATTCCTTTGGCTACTTTGTGAACAAAGCCAAGACACGTGTGTACAGAGACTCCACAGAACCCAACTGGAACGAGGTGAGGATGCCATGGGTCCGTTAGTGCTCAGAACTCACGTGTCCTGGTGTCTATTATTCAGCCTTATCTGCTAGATTGTCTCTTACCTGGTTCTGCGCTGTTTCCCTGCAGGAGTTTGAGATTGAGCTGGAGGGATCTCAGACTGTGAGGTTGCTGTGTTATGAGAAGTGCTACAACAAAGCCAAGCAAAACAAGGAGGATGGAGAGAACACTGACAGGATCATAGCCAAAGGACAGATACAGGTATGGAGTGTGTTGCCTGCCACACCAGGCTACAGTGGCAACAGTGACATAGCTTAATGAAATAATAGGTGGTTTACTTTATTAGGATCTCCATTAACTACTGCACATGCAGCAGCTACTCATCCTGGGGTCCACATAAAATGTACAAATACACGACAAAGTACATAACTGTTATAGACAAGAACAACCTAAGATATTACATAAAATTCACACAAAGAGACTATTTACACACTATTCATATATACATATTCTTATATGAATATACAGTATATATTGATGTCATAGGTGGTGAAAATGACGTATATTGTATACCAGCCCCAATATCTGCCATGTTGTGGGTAATCCCACCATGTGTGGTTCTGTGGTGTGGAAAAGGGCTGTGGGGTCGCTGCTGGGTCACCTCAGCCTGACTGGTGATAGGGTGTTGTGAGTGTGACAGAGGGGGGATTACAGTTGGGAAGGGAAACAGGCTGACCAAATGTAGCCCCTGGCACAGATCCAACCAATGGCAGTGGAAGGGGGGAGATAGAGAGCGAACCTTCTTGGTCTAGTTAGTGAAGGGTTAACATTGGATGTTTGTTTATTGAATAGACAATCTACTGTATGTATTGTCTATTTTGGACAATGCACAGCCAACGTGGTCCCTCACATCGATTAAGTTGGGCATGATGACACTCTGGCCTGGGTCTGATCTGTTTGTGAAATTTTAGATTAGTGCTGATTGGAGAGGCCGTCTGAACATTGTGTGTGCATGTGTTCCCATATGTTTGGGGATGAAAAAGAGACAGATCAGATGTGGGAGGGTTTGGTTGAGAGGAAAAGGGGTCAGGTAAAGGCACTAAGTCAGGAGGAGCCAGAGTCACTAGAACCAAAACAGATCTACCAACTGGTGATCCATGAGGATGCTGTAGGAAGCTACCTGTGTAAACCTGGGGCTGTATACCCACCCTGCAGTCCTCATAACAACCTCTGAGCAGCTGCCAGCGTGTGTCCATAGTCAAGGGAGGAGGGGATTCTCAGGAGTTAATCCACAGATCCATCTGGGAACTGGGACAACAGGGAGGCAGCATGGTCTAGAGGCTGCCTTTGTTCCGATTGTTTTTTTAATCTGGTGTGCAAGGATTGATGGCAGGGTTAAGAAGTTGATGGGACACCCAGACATTTGCCAGGACCTACTGGACCATTAAAGGACTATAGGGGCCTCTGGATTCTTTGAGACAATACGATATTTTCTGGACTGCTGCCTTGTTTTGTTTTTCCCATTGTTTTGAACAGTACATTAGCTAGTGAAAGTAGAGAGTGAGAGACTGAGTCTTAAGTAGAAGAATATGGGTGACACCTGTGATAAAGAGCTGATCCTGGATCAGACCAGCAGTCAGTTCACCAGCAGCTGTTCCCTGGAGGATGAGGGGGACACAGGTCCCAGGAAGCCCCCAGGCACAGGGGCACGGCTGTGGGGCAGGGTCGTCAGCACTCTTCACAGACAGAAGGTAAAGACATAGCACAAATAGGAGAAAGAATGAGCTATATTTCTTGTCATGGATGGTCTTTGCTTTGAAACAAAGAGGGTATTGTAGATTTTTTTTAAATATCCTTAGTTGTACAGTCGCTAGTGAAAGTCTACACACCCCTTGCACAGTTGTCACATTTTGCTGCCTTTAATAAAATTAAAACTAAAAAGAGATTAAATTGATTTCCCCCCTACCGATCTACACAACTTACTTCACATTGTTTTAGTCAAAAATGCTCAAGCTCTGTACATTTTGTTGGGAACCATTGATGTACACCAATATTCAAACCATGTCTCTGATTTTCAAGCAGATTTAAGTCAGGACTGAGGCTGGACCACTCAGGAACTCTCCACAACCTGGAAAGCCATTCCGGTGCGTCTTTGGCATAAAAATGTGTGTAATTGTCCCTCTGAAAAATCTATCCCAGGGTTAGGTATTCAGGTGACTGAGGCAGGTTTTCCTGTAACTTTTTACCTTTGCCCCTTTCATATTTATTTTGCTCCTGACACCCCAGTCCCTGCCGGTGGCAAGCATACCCATAACATGATGCTGCCACCACAATACTTGAAAATACAGAAGGTTTCACTCTGTGTTGTGATGGTATTGGATTTGACCCAAACCGTACGTTTTTAATTTAGGCCTAAAAGTACATTTATTTGTTGTTGATTTTCAGGTATTGTGGTGACAGCATCATGTTATGGGTATGCTTGTTACCAGCAGGGACTAGGCCTAGGGAGTTTGTTAGGATCAAAATAAATATGAAAGGAGCAAAGCCCTTTAAAAAGTTAGAGGAAAGCCTGCCTCAGACTTCTGAACAGCTAACCCTGGGAGTTTTATTTTTCAGAGGGACAATAACATGCATTTTAATACCAAAGACACCCCAGAATGGCTTTCCAATTGGTGTTGAGTGTTCCTGAGTGGTCCAGTCTCAGTCTTGACTTAAATCAGCTTGAAAGTCAGAGACAATGTTTGAATATTGCTGTACATCAATGATTCCCAACCAAATGTACTGAGCTATAGCAATTGACAAAAACAATGGCTATATGTTGCCCTAAGAGTTGTGCAAAGTTGGTAGAATCTTATTCAGAATTATTCACAGCTGTAATGGCTGCCAGTGGTGATTCCACTAAAAACTTGAAAATGTGAAGTATGTTGTGTAGATCGATAGGAAGAAAATCAAATGTAATCCCTTTTTTAGATTTCATTTTAAGCCAGTAAAACGTGACAACTGGGTGTAGACCTTTACTAGATACTGTATATCATCTACATTGACATTTTAGTAATTTAGCAGACACTCTTATCCAGAGTGACTTAGTTAGTGTATTCATCTTAAGATAGCTAGGTGGGACAACCACATATCACAGGCATAGAAAGTACATTTTTCCTCAATAAAGGAGCTATCAGTCGAGTCAGAGCTAGAAGGGGGAGGAGGGGGGGAGGGGAGGGGAGGGGGGGGGAGGGGGGGGGTGTTGAGGTGAGGAGAGGAGGAGGATTATTTAAGATACTGTTTGAAGGTAGGGTTTCAGGTGTTTTCGAAAGATGGGCAGGGACTGCTGTCCTAGCTTCAGGGGGAAGCTGCTTCCACCATTGGGGTGCCAGGACAGAGAAGAGCTTCCCTCCCGTAGGGGTGCGAGGGCCAAGAAGAGACCTGAGGTGGCAGAACGGAGTGCTCAGGATGGGGTGTAGGGTTTGAGCATAGCCTAAAGGTAGGGAGGGGCAGTTCCTCTTGCTGTTCTGTAGGTAAGCACCATGGTATTGTAGTGGATGCAAGCTTTGACTGGAAGCCAGTGGAGTGTGCGGAGGAGTGGGGTGACATGAGAGAACTTGGGAAGGTTGAGCCCAGCCAACAGCGAGTTGCAGTAGCTCAGACGGGAGAGGACAATTGCCTGTATTAGGACCTGCACCACTTCCTATGTGAGGTAGGGTCATACTCTACGGATGTTGTAGAGCATAACACTGCAGGAGCGAGTCATTGCTTTTATGTTTGTAGAGAACAACAAGGTGTTGTCCAGGGTCACACCAAGATTCTTTGCATTCTGGGAGGACGACACTGTGGCATTGTCAACCGTGATGGAGAGGTCTTTGAGCGGGCAGGCCTTCCCCGGGAGGTAGAGCAGCTCCTTCTTGTTGAGGTTGAGCTTTAGGTGGTGGGCTGACATCCAAGTTGAGATATCTGCCAGGCACGCAGAGATGTGTGTCGCCACCTGGGTGTCAGAAGGGGGGAAGGAGAATTAGTTTAGTGTCATCTGTATTGCAATGATAAGCGAGACCATGTGAGGAAGCTGGGTGACTTGGTGTATAGAGAGAAGAGGAGAGGGCCTAGAACCGAGCCCTGGGGGACCCCAGTAGTGAGAGTACGTGGTGCAGACACAGATCCTCTCCACGTCACCTGGTAGGAGTGGTCTGCCAGGTAGGATGCAATCCAAGAGTGTGCAGAGCCTGAGACGCTGAGCCCTGAGAGGGTGGAGAGGAGGATTGATGGTTCACGGTGCCAAAGGCAGCGGATAGATCTAGGAGGATGAGAACAGAAGAGCGAGAGTCAGCTTTGGCAGTGCTGAGAGCCTCCGTGACACAGAGAAGAGGAGTCTTGGTTGAGTGACTCGTCTTGAAGCCTGACTGGTTAGGGTCAAGAAGATCGTTCTGAGAGAGATAACGAGGAAGTTGATCAGAGACAGCACGCCTAAGTGTTTTGGAAAGAAAAGAAAGAAGGGATACAGGTTTATCGTTTTTGACGTCTGATGAGTCGACGCAGCCAATGGTCAGGGATGAGAGAAGTGATGAATGGGAGAAGTTCTCCAGAGATGGTCTGGAGAAGGTCTCCAGAGATGGGGTCGAGCGGGCAGGTTGTCGGGTGGCCAGACATCACTAGTCGCAGGATTTCATCTGGAGAGAGGAGATAAAGAGCCCAAGGCGGAGGGTAGTTCTGTGTGAGTGAGACCAGTGGACACAATGGGCTGAGTGAATGAGTAGCAGATGTCATCAACCTTCTTCTCAAAGTGGTTGACAAAGTCGTCCGCAGAGTGGGAGGAGGGAGTGGGAGGGGGTGGATGATTAAGGAGGGAGGAGAAGGTGGAAAATAGTTTCCTAGAGTTAGAGGCAGAAGCTTGAAATTTAGAGTGGTAGAAAGTGGCTTTCGCAGCGGATACAGTGGAAGAGAAGGTAGAGAGGAGGGAGTGAAAGGATGATAGGTCCTCCGGAAGTTTCGTTTTCCTCCATTTTCTCTCAGCTGCCTGCAGCCCTGTTCTGTAAACTTGCAATGAGTCACTCAGCCACGGAGCATATCCTTTAAGTATCCTTGAATGTGTTTTACAGTATTCTCATACTTAATACGTAATGCTCTTTTCTTTTAATAAATCCACTGCATTATGTAAGAAGAAATGGATGTCCACAGAACAAAAAAATATGTTGTATCTATCTGTTGGTCACTTGGGTGAGAGGACATCTGTCATGTTAGATAATCTGAATACCGGGAGATGATGCTATCACAATACTCATGCCTGATCACTGCAAATAACTGTTTGCAGCTTGGTATTAGTCACATGATTTAAAATACATCAGTGACATGAGTTGACACTACCCAACCATATGATGTTTTTGTGAGGATAAGGGCAAGTGAAGGGTAATTGTTATGGAAGACCCAGGCTTGCTGATTGGGGAGAAAGACAAAGTAACCATCTTTATCTTTGAATCCATCATTTTGTCAATTTTTAGCTTTGCTTCAGTGAAATCCAATCTAATATCGACAGTTTCATTGAAGTGTTTTTTTAATACTCTGCTTTAGATTAATTGGAAAGGATCAAGAGGCTAACTGTGCTAAACATTCATACAAAGCAGGATTTTGAGAGGTTTAAATATCTGAGCAGTTCATCTTTACTGGGTTAGATGATTACTCTGACTGACAGATGTCTCCATATTTTCCAGCTGGATCCCCAGACGCTACAAAGCAAAGACTGGCAAAGAACAGTCATCACCATGAACGGGGTACGTATTACCAGCCTAAGTTTAAACAATCATCACTGTTTTTCACAAAGCTTTCTGAAACCACACTGCCTTACTTATTTTGTTTAGCAAAAGTACTGTTTTGGCACAACTTTACATTGACATTACTCCAGTGGCCAGTGTAACCGTTTTTAAATAAGTGATGTATATAACATGGTAATTACATGGGTTTTTCCACTGATAGTTACTGTGGAATAAAGATGACCCCTATATTAACGTTTACTGTGTGGATCAGGATACATGCAATGCTCTTCATTTCACTGACTCCTGGCTAATTCTTAACTTCTCTTGGTACAGATTGACGTGAAGCTGTCAATGAAGTTCACCAGCAGAGAGTTCAGTCTGAAGAGAATGCCCTCGCGGAAACAGTCAGGCGTGTTTGGAGTGAAAATCAGTGTTGTAACCAAGTGAGTGAATAATGTGTGTTTGTTAGCCTCTGTATAATCTCGGCACCCAGAACCAAATCAGACTCATACTTGAGGATTTTGGCAATGAAACCATTTTTATGTCTCTATATGTAGTTTGAAGTAAGTTGCTAGCTAGTATTAGCGCAATGCTAACTAGTGTTAGCGCAATGCCTGGAAGTCTATGGTAACTGCTAGCATGCTAGTAGATACCATAGACTTACAGTCATTGCGTTCATGCTAGTTAGTGTTGGCTCGCGAAACTACCACTAATTTGCTTCATACTGGATACAGAGACATACAAATGGTATCCATGAGTTCATCTGACTCTGGGGAAGTAGATAAAGGGCTCCATTGCCAAAATCCCAAAGTATCCCTTTAAGCCTGTCATGAAGGACTAGCCTACATGTAATGCATGCCACATTTCTGTTACCAACACAGATCAGACCTAATATTGTCAAATGAATGGGATACCTCCTCCTACCTCCTTCACTTTAATCCAAAAACAACAGTGGAGGGTAAGGAATAACTGTCAAAGACATGCCTTGTTTGGGATTTTCTATTTTCACATGGAGCACAAGGCTCTCATGATCATTTGTAAAATAACTTTTGCCCCTTATGGGCAGGGTCTATTTGGGAAAACATCATTTTACAGTGGTAAAGATGTAATACTGCAGGATGGAGGTATTTCTCTGTGTTTGCTTTACTCTGAAAGTAGAAAGAAAATATAGGGGTCATTTATGAGTACTTGGGAACAGGTATTACATATCAAAATTGAAAAATGCTCTTGGGTTCAGTTTATGCACTACCACAATAAAACAAACATCAGGTGTGTACTGAAGTCAGAAATGAGACACACAGTTTTGCAGTCACAGGTATTTTGACTCATTAGTGTAAAGCACTAGACTTCTCGTTTCCTGCATTAATCCTGCATTAAGTGTAACCATGTGTCTGTGTTTGACCTCGACAGACGGGAGCGGTCCAAGGTGCCCCTAATCGTGAAGCAGTGTGTAGAGGAGATAGAGCGCCGGGGCATGGAGGAGGTAGGAATCTACCGGGTCTCAGGGGTGGCTACAGACATCCAGGCCCTGAAGGCTGCATTTGATGCCAGTGAGTACACCGACCTTGGATCTCTTCTACAATGTCATTTATGTATTACTATTTTTCATACCGGCTTGCAGCTTACTGTTCCCCCTGTTTATCGTTAATTCCTTTCCTCTGATTGACAGACAATAAGGATGTGTCGGTGATGATGAGTGAGATGGATGTGAATGCCATTGCTGGAACGCTGAAGCTGTATTTCCGTGAGCTGCCGGAACCTCTTTTCACAGATGACCTGTACCCCAACTTCGCTGGAGGCATCGGTCAGTCTCTCTTTGTGACCTAAAAAAATCTTACTATGGCATTTAGCCTCATCATAGTGAATACAACATAAGAGTGACATTTAACAAACTATTAAACCTAAATCAGGTAAGACAAAAAAATACTAAACAATTGTGTCTTCGTCTTGCAGCCCTGTCAGACAGTGTGGCTAAGGAGAGCTGTATGCTGCACCTGCTGCTGTCACTCCCAGAACCCAACCTGGTCACCTTCCTCTTCCTGCTGGATCACCTGAAGAGGTATACTCCCCACAGTGACATGATTGATCCTGTCACATGAATATAGTCTAGTGCTGAGCGATTAACCGATCATTTTGGTTTTTGGGGTTATTAAACAACTAATTGACCAATGTCGGTTCAATTACTTGTATTCCATTTAGTTCGGGGTTTCTTTTTGCCCAACGCGTCGTTTCTTTAGAGAGAAATCAAATAATTCATGAATTAAATCAAGTCAAGAACTATGTGGGACGCTAGGCTGAAGGGTTGTTGTTTTCATTAAGCAAATATTCAACCTAGTTCAGCGCAGAAATGTGGTAATTAACTACAATGGACATAGTCCATTGCACCAGTTCTTTCCAGCTCAGACGGATCAGAGAGGAGGAGGCAAAGCGAGAGGTTTCACTCTCACCAACATATGCCCAAAATAAGCCCAATGCGTTTCTATGGGCTTATTTTTGACCTAAGCTTGTCGCCTGCCTTCCTGCCTTTGGGACACGACTACCATTGTTAGGGCAGAGACATGAGCATCTCTTCATTAGATACAGATCTCTGGCCTGATACACTTTTACGCCTGCTACGTTAGGTTAGATACACACAGACCACATAGACCACATGAGAGAGGAATGAACACAACGACGAGAGAAACAGAGACAGTTTGTGAAAGTATGCCAAATCTATTTTGAAGAACTAGTAAAATGATATCGTCAGACAGCTCTGCAGCATACTTAGGCAGGTTAGCTAAATAGGATGACTAAAGACAGTACAGTATGGGGAGCACATAACGTTAGATGGCCTGGCTGGCTGACTGCTACTGCCTGAGCAGAGATGAGATTATTACTTTTTAAGGAATGAAAAATAATAAAGTAATCAAATAAAAACTAAGTAATATACACAACTGAAATATTGTATTATTTCATAGTAATTTCAATTTTTTCTATTGATGTCTACCCTATGTGGACCTGATCAGAGACAATGGAATATTTGTTATGTTTTGCAATTGAATGTTCACTATTTTTGGCTTTGGAAATTCCATTAAAAAGCTCTAAAATCATAGTAACGTCATTATTTCATAATGCATTTAATGTTTTTACCGAAATCAAAAACCGTCATTATTTTTTAATAATCGAACCGAAACTGAACCGACCTAAAAAAGCACTAATCTCTCAGCACTAATACAGTCACAGATCTGTTATTCAAAACCTGTTGCTAATTTCTCCTTCCTTGTTCTCACAATCAGACACTTTTGATATCCTCTGTGTTCTTACAGGATTGCTGATAATGAGGGCGTTAATAAGATGTCTTTTCACAACCTGGCCACGGTCTTTGGTCCAACCCTGCTCCGCCCCTCTGAGAAAGACAGCAAGATCCCAGCCAATGCCACGCAACCCATAACAATGAATGACAACTGGTCACTGGAGGTTATGTCACAGGTACTGCCAAAATCTGTGTAGACATCTATAGTGTCTTTTGGAACGTCAATGTTGATTTTGTTGCAGAGGTAGATTCAGAGGTATTCATGGAGCCCATAAATATGTGCTATGGTTCTAATAATCCCTTTCCTTTGCTCTTTCCCGCTTCCCCTTCTGTCTCTGTAGGTACAGGTCCTGCTGTATTTCCTTCAGCTTCAGAGCATCCCAACACCGGACAGCAAACGTCAAAGCATTCTCTTTTCCACTGAAGTATAGCGGGAGCATGGGCATTTCCATCTGTGAAAAACAGAGGGAGGAAGAAGTGGACAAAATTATCCCTTTCATGGTAAATTGTTGGCTGCTGGAGGAAATGAACACTGCTAAGGAGCAATGGCTGGATTACAGGGTACCTGCTCTATATGGCCACCAGAGGGAGTCAACAGCACATTTCAGACTAACAAATTCAGTACTTTCATGACCAAAGCCATTCCATTATGATCAATGATCCAAATATCATCCTTATCTTGCTGCCCTTAAAACTGTCGTACACAGACACAAAAAGCCATTTAATATGGTCAAGTCAAAGCACAGACCATTCCTTTATTAGATTTTTAATTGCAAAAATGTTTTTACCAGATGAAGTGAGGCAAATTGTCATCTCCATGATCCCTTATATTAGGTGTGCTGAGCATTTACAGATAGTGTGTAACAATCTGTTAATTATTTGACAATCAACTCATTTTAGAGGCACTGATGATCCACTGATTATTATCAAAACTGTGAAAAATAGTTTCATTCCTTATTAAGACACAAGGCCTGTTTCATAACTTTTCCCTGCTGAAGCCCATTGTAGGAAAATGTGCATTCACCAGATGTTTATGCGAATGCTCTCTTTATTTTGTAAGGAATGTGAGACTGATCAAACTTAAGTAGGTATATTTAACATGCAGGCATGTTGACATAAATGTGTTTTTAATACTTTTCTCTTCAAATAACTGCTGTTTGTGAGTTTCTGTTAAGATATTTCTGGGAGGTTGTACTTAGTTAAACAGTGGACCTCAACCATATCTCAGAATGTCTTTTTTTTGTTTTTATCTTATATGGACCTGAAAGCTGGATATTGCTAAATATGTTGTAAGACCAGCTGCATTAAGTAGTAGGCCTAAATGTTTAAGTACAATTATGACAGTCCTACATTTTCCTTAAGCATTCCCACTGTAGCGTCATTTATCTTTTGATCTTATTCAATTAGAGATCATTCATCTGAACACACCACCCCTTTACTGGATGAATTTTGTTTTTATTTCAGATGGGTTAAAACCAAAGACTATTCAGTGCTGTCACGTGGAAATTAGACAGAAATAGCACTGATAAGCTTTGTCTCTTTATTCAATTTTAGTGGTAGTGATCCACTAATATCCAAATCTCCTGGGTATGAAAACAAGTATGGGACATTGTGAAGGGCACCATTGTCTTCTGTTGTGTTATTTTGTTTCTAGCAAAATATATAAAGGGTTTACTGTTCTCTGCCTGGCGAGCTGTAACTTCGAAAGCCCTTAAAAATATATATATGTGCTTGCAAAGTGAAAATCATTCCAAATGTTTACAGATATCTGAATTAAGATGTTAAGCAAGATATGAAACTGTTATGCTAACTGACTGTTTATAGTGTATCAGCAATCACTTAATTTACATTTCTTCCTTCCAGACAGTTGTTGTAGTCATTATCCTAAGAAAGGCTAATTTATGTAGCTACAATAAAGAGTTGATTCCCATGTGCTTTGTATTTTTTTAATTTTGATTCTCTGCAATCTGAGAACACAATTTAAGATTATTTAACATGATTTTGTTCAAGTGTTGTGTCGGTAGAAGATGATTTTAGTTATTTTCTGCACAATGTATACTCTAAAACAGCTGCGTGAGACTTTGTAGCTAGCTGAGATTCAATACATGTTCTTTATTCCTATAGAGCTGGGCTCTAGATGTAAATGGGCTAGAATGCGCATGCCGATCTTGTTAAATACATCTATGGAGGATGCGCTCCAGTCCAGGGCAAGGCTCTGGGAAGCAATAATCAGGCTGATGTTCGCTGCATTGACGACTGAAAAGCAACGTGTCAGATGGACCAAATTGGGATAACCTCCAGTATCTATCTGTCTCAGCTACAAAGCTGTCTTAAAATGTATTCGCATCCAGTTATACATTTTCACTCTTCAAGGATCAAATAGAAGAAGCCACGGTATGAATTTTAGCTAGCTACAGACAGTACGTTAATAACGTCTTTATCAAGCTAAGCTAGCTAGCTACTGTAGTTATGTGAAAATATAGACTTTAGCTAATCATTTCTTAGCTAATGTATTTCTGGGGAAAGCTTGCAACTTTCACGTCTCCTGGAACATTCAATTTAGTCGTATTTTAGGCTAGCTATAGTTGCCAGTCTCAGACTAGGAAAAAAAAACGAACGTTAGCTGAATAGTTTGACACAGCTAGCAAGCTAACGTCAACTGGCTAGCGACGGTAACTTGCTAATTAACGTTAGCTGACAACTTCTCATGATTGGCTGTATGGAAATGTTGATTACAAAATGTTGGCTGCAAGCTATTTAGATACTACTAGATAGTAAGCTAGCTAGCTTTGTTATTATTCTAGCTAACGGTAACTAAAAAGGCAAGTGGGGTGACACTGTCAACTGGTCATATAACCAAATATTTTTTTCACTAACCCAAGCTCATAGTTCTATCTGTGACATTGCCAGAAGATTCCGACCCTAACATTACCCTTGTTTAAACTGATCTGCACTGGGGTCGGAACGCAATCATGGTTCCATTAAGACACTGTGGAGCCGATGTCGGAAAATGTATCTCAATGCAGGGATGGGATATGCCTTTATCCACACTAATTCATTGAGAAGGTTGAAATACTGCTAGTTTTCCCAGAAAACGGCCCAGTTTGTCCTCATGCTAGCTAGCAGTAGCCAACACAGCCATTTTGGAATGGCAGTGTCAGCCAATCAGCATGAGGACGAAAAAGGCAGTTTTCCGGGAAAACTAGCAGTATTTCAATCTTCTCGATGGAGCAGTGTGGATGAAGGTACAATTTGGAGTAAGGTGGCATATCCCATCCCTGCATAGAGGCCCACAGGGAAATGGTACAAATCCCTGCAAGCTCCTGCACGTCATCTCTAGCTGACACTTTTAATAACAGGTATTGTGTCAATTTAAAACTTGCACAAGACAGTTAACGGAATTGTCCATTTTAAATACATTTTACCAATTTATTCATTATTACATTTAGCTAACATTAGATAGTTAATCCAGAGATTCTTACCTTTGCCTCGATTCGGCAGTCTCGTCCAGATCATGATAACCACATTAGCAGCTAATTAGCATTTCATTATTGGGTGTAAATACAGGTGAATATATTGATAGAAGTCACCTTGGCCTAGAGAGATTTACACGGTTATCAAAACGTCACGCCAGGGTAAGCCTACACACAACACAGCCCTTATTTTAAGTGTTTAAAAATCCCCTATGGTGGAAAAACGATTGGAACCATTTCCCTGTTTGACTGCTAGGTTTTATGAGTATTATGACTCATACTGTCGTACTCTATAGAGGTACGTTTTCCGACCCATATCTTGCGCCGGCTACACAATGTCTTAATGTAACCATGATTGTGTTCCGACCGGGGGTAAACAAGCATAACGATAGGGTCGGAATCATCTGGCTAGATATGTCAAATGTCATGGCAATAACTAACTTGTCATGTAGTCCTCCTGATTGTGGCGATGCTTTCCATTGCCTGTACAGCATACCCACGCAAATGTACATAGTACAATCCTTAACATCCCTTGTCTGTCACATGTTGAATACAATTATACTTGTACTTACTCTGCCGATTGTCTGTGGGGGTGGTCCTTCAGCTGGTTGAAACTTGAGACAAAATATCCACAGAAAATTATTATTAAACAGACTTCAAAACGCAAGTCTCTGTGTGTGTCAATTAAGATGTGTTTGCTCATGACCTAAGACATGTGCACAAGATGGAAGTACATGCACGTAGCATACTAACCGAAGTCTTGTAGGTGTTTACATAGTTTTGCGCATGTGCCAGGTGATAGAAAGTTCAACGGCAGTACCGGCACTCTAAAAGTCTGGATATTTTGTCTCAAATTTCGACCAGCTGAAGGACCAACCGCACAGACAATTGGCAGAGGGAAATTCAAATGGAATTTTAGTAAACATTCTGGCTTGTAAAGAAACAAGTTTCCACGTTTTTGCAGTGCTTTGTTTGACTGTATACCAAGAATTGGTATCATAGTCTGATTTAGGCAACTTGTCATAGCTATCTAGCTACATTATTAATGTTTGTGATTCCCTGGGCCTGAAGCATGTCACTCTTTTTTCCACATGCAACTTAGAGGTCTCTCTAAAGCCCATATAGCTGATTTATTTAGAAAATATAAAACACACGTCTCATTATACAGTAGAAGAATTCAAAGTGAGCATATTTCTCCTGACTATTCTTTATTTTCCTGAATTGAATATCTTTAAGCTTTACAATCTGCTCTCCAATGTCCTGTCCAGGGAATGTGACTTGTGCAATATGAATTTGGCTACTCCTCCTTGTCTCTGAATCCTGCCTTTTGGGAAAATTTCCCAAAGTGAAAAATCTTCAGTTCTTGGAAATGTTCCTAGAGCTGGAAGTTACCTAAGCACCCATTTGTGCATGTGTAATTGTCTATAGTCTGATCCTACTTTTTAAAGAAGCCTGAGTTGTTCACCTCACACTCTGATATTTCCTGAGCTCTGATACAGATTGTCCTAGCCATGTGTTTTGTGTTGTATGCACTGCATAGCGCAGTGTTTCTCCATCCTGGTCTTGGGGACCCAAAGGATTGGGAAACATTGGTATAGCATAATAGGGTACATGAAGGATGGCTTGGTTGGATCTGTTAGGAGGACTGGGTCTTTGGCTATAATGGATGTTTTCGACTGAAGAGTTGAGGTTACACTTTCTGCTCTGTCTGAAACACACTGATGCCTACTTGTCCTCGCACACATTCATCCTTGTAGAATTTTCTCAAAGGAGACGCCACCACAGGAAGCGGATGTTATGGAAGGGAAGTGACTCCCGCAGTCAAAGCACTGAATAAGGAAGATGAGGAAGAGGGAGGGGCAGTTTCCAGTAGGCCGAATCTTGCTCGCTCTCTCTTGCTTCCTTTTTTCCCTGCTTTTAATGGTTTTGTTTCATAAGCAACAAGGGGACACTGACTGTGCATAGTTGTCCTTCGGGTCAGCCTTGGATTGAATCCAAGGGTTCCATGCGTTCATTAGCCGGACATTGTTGGAATCAAATAGCAGCACTAGCCCAATCATCATGGCTAGTGCTGGCTTTAGATCTTGCTAGTCTGTTGCTGAGCGAGAACTCATCACCCTAGACGCCAACCCTTTACCCACCCATGAATGCATAGCTGGGATTGTCATGTCCTTTCACTTTCTGTACCCCATTTGCACACAGTGCATTTTACATAAGACCAAGGCCTTTATTTCTTCTTAGAGGATGCTGGGATGCATTACTAATATTTGGACTATAAGAATGCCATTGAAGTATTACTGCACACCTGAACCTGATAGTCTACGGAAGGCATATGAATAGTGAGAATAGACTGAAAGTCTAGGCTATACCCGCAGCCTCTCTCTCACTCAATCCCATTCATTCATAGCCAAAGAAAATGGCAGCCTTCCAAGTCGTGTGTTTGGGTGATCAGAAAGCTGTACCCAGGCTGTATTGAGAGCCCATGTCAGCAGCTGGCAACATGCCCTGCACAATCCAAACAGAGGTCAGATAGGGTGAGAACACACACACACACACCTGACTGGGGAGTGTAGGCTACAGTAGAACACTCTTCTGTTGCAAGATGTCCCTATTTATATGTTTTGTTTTACTTAAAGGTGCAACTCTAAAGGAATGTTTCAATGCCAAGTTTTACATTAATATTCCACTGCCAGTAAGGGTGTATTGTATTTCATTGTTGTTATTTCAACATTCACTATCTGGTCTGTCTCTTACCCTCTGGCTGTTCAAGAATGTGTACACTACTAGGCATATTTCAATGAGGGTCTGAATAAACAAGCACCTCCCAATCACAGGAACCATGGGGCTTCAACACACATCTCACAGCTGAGAGACATTAGGCAGAGTTTACTCCTAACGAGCACAAGTGCTCTGCTGCTCTGCTATAAATGAGAGGCGAGAGAGGACAACGGGGAGCTGTTAAAAAAGCTCTGGAAAGATCTCATAACTCCAGCACAAGTGCAGAAAGACCCAAAAGGACCAGACTGCGTGTTCCCTTTTTGATGGTTTAAAGTAGAAAGACAAATGGAAGCGTTTTGGCGTCATATCTGAATTTATTAATATGCCAAACAAGAGTTTAGAAAACGTTATCACTTTGTCACAGGCACGGATTATTCTATTTAGACAGAAATGCACCCTATATCATTTATATTTAGAAAATAAACAAGTATAATATTTACTCAACTTTCTGTCTGCTTACTTGATTAAACAATGATGGCCTTTCCAGGCAGGGCGTTGGTACTTCCACCTGCACCCAGCTTGAGAGCAGGCACAGAGAGATCCAGAAAGCCTGCTTGGTTTAATGGTCACATATGCTGTGCAGGATAGTATGTCCAGCAGGTTGGGTTAGAGATCATAGGAATCGCAGGGAAGAACAGCAGCACTAATGTAACTCAGCTGAGGGATATTACTGAGATCTGCCCCCCGTCCCGTCCCGTCTCATCTCCAGCAGTATAGAATTTAAACTACGCCCACATCTCTGAGAACCATAGTATGGCCGAGCCCTTTGGAAAGCCATTACTCTGCAAATTGGTTCACCAATTGGTTTATTTTTAGGCTATCTTCAGGGCCTATTGCAATTACGATTTACTCTTGCGATTTGTTACACAACTATTCCTTGTAGACAAAAAGTAAAAATGTCTTGTGTGCAACAACTAGAATACTTCTGGTTATGTAACTTTCAGGAAGAAAAAGACTGCCTCATTTGTCATATAACGCTGTTTTATAACCTCCGCTGTCATAGATAAAGCCCCAAATACTTTCCCTACCTTGGTCATCATGACAGCAAGGCAAGTTGTCCATGCACCTGGGTGAGACGTGTGAACTAATACACATGGATTGTGTATTACATTTTTATCAGTGAGGTCGGAACTTCTGAGCAGAGAACAACCCCAGTTGAACCCTAACCAGCCTATGACTGCCATCTGGTAATGCTGATGACAGTCAGGATATCTGAGACTGGGATGAAGAGAGATTAAGTCAAATGAGCATGCCTGGTTTTCCAGACTTGTGGAGCTAAGGTGTTTTCCTTTAATGGAAATTATTTCAAGGAAATATAGTTGAAGGTAGTCCTTCCACTGATATGTTGTCCTTTCTCCCTGTGTGTTTCCAGATTGAGGTGTAAATGTATGGGCATCAGAGAGCCCAGTATGAAGAAGACAGGCAGGCCGGTGGTGAGTAAGGCTCAAAGTGGAGAGAGGGGGAAGACTGAAGGCGCTGCTACAGGAATCACAGGCAAGGCTGCAGCCAAGACCACCACAATGGCACCACTGTCAAAGGTACACTTCTATCCCACTACACGTCTTGTAACTAAGCCAGGTACACTTCTATCAAATTCTAAATTATGTACAATGGCCTACTTTGCCAACACCCATTTGTACATGTTTATCATGGTACCGAACAATCCTATGTTATTCTTCTGGTGGCTGGCTGGATTAGTGGGCATTAAAGTAATTGTTTTCATGTAATTGTTTTCCATGTGATTTGTTCTCCAGGTTAAAAGCAATGATGATCTGCTAGCAGCAGTGGCAGGGGGCACTCCAGCTATGAACAGCACTGTGACCAAGAACAAGAGAACTGCCTCCACGGGGACCAGCAGTGGTAACCCAGACAGTAAACCAAAGACTAGCTCAAGTAAATCTGTTTATATCTTTATATTAGCTGACTAGCCTTTAATGACCTAGTCTATGTTCATCATACTTATTATTACTCTGCATTTCATGCTTGCTGGGTTCTGTCTCTCTTTACAAGGTTCTTCAGCCAAACGTGTGACGTCCTCTACCTCCAAGGAGCCCAACTCATCAAGGGACCGTCTGCGGACATCCAGAACATCGGCTAGTAAGAAGCAGTCATCGTCAGGGGCAGGGCAGGAGGATGTGGCCCAGGGAAAGCGCTCTCGCAGCCAGCAGCTGACAGAGTCGGAGGGCCGCATGAACAAGTCTAAATCAGACAGCCAGATCAGTATCAAGGTAGCCCTGGAGGCCAAGGTAAAAGACCTGCTGGGTTTGGCCAAGAGCAAAGACTTGGAGATCCTGCACCTGCGCAGCGAGCTGAGGGACATGAGGGCCCAGCTGGGCCTGGGAGGGGAGGAGGTGCCCCCAGAGGAGGGAGGAGGGGAGGAGGAGAAGCCCCAGGAGAGGGAGGTGTCGGCCATCACAGCAGCGGATGTGGAGTCCACGCTGCTTCTCCTGCAGGAGCAGAACCATGCCATCCGTGAGGAGCTGAACCTGTTGAAGAGTGAGAACCGCATGCTGAAGGACCGGCTCAACGCGCTGGGCTTCTCGCTGGAGCAGAGGCTGGATGGCTCTGACAAATTCTTCAGCTACCCCTCCCTGAGCCCAGACCTGGCAGTCAGCAGCGGTCACAGTGATGGCGGGGGCACTGGTACCCTCACCTCCTCTGTGGAGGGCTCTGCCCCGGGCTCCCTGGAGGACCTGCTGACGGCCCAGCAGCACGGTGGTTCAGTGGACAACTTGGACAGTGAGTCCAGCGAGGTCTACCAGGGCATCACCTCCAGCGATGACGCCCTGGACGCCCCCTCCGGAGCATCGTCCTCCTCCGAGTCGGAGAGCGTGCCCAGCCGAGAGCGCTCACACCGGGGCAGCAGCGGCAACGCCAGTGAGGTGTCTGTGGCCTGCCTGACAGAGCGCATCCATCAGATGGAGGAGAACCAGCACAGCACGGCCGAGGAGCTGCAGGCCACACTACAGGAGCTGGCTGACCTGCAGCAGATCACCCAGGAGCTGAACGGAGAAAACGAGAGGCTAGGGGAGGAGAAGGTCATCCTCATGGACTCCCTGTGCCAGCAGAGCGACAAGCTGGAGCACTACAGCCGGCAGATTGAGTACTTCCGCTCTCTACTGGACGATCACCACTTGTCCTACGTCCTGGAGGAGGACATCAAGAGCGGCCGCTACATGGAGCTGGAGCAGCGCTACGTGGACCTAGCCGACAATGCCTGTTTCGAGAGGGAGCAGCTGCTGGGGGTGCAGCAGCACCTCAGCAACACGCTGAAGATGGCGGAGCAGGACAACGCTGAGGCCCAGGAGGTAATTGGGGCTCTGAAGGAGAGGAACCACCACATTGAGCGCATCATGGAGTCGGAGAGGCAGGACCGGGGTACCATGGTGGCAGCGCTGGAGGAGTACAAGGCAGCGGTGAGCTGTGACCAGGTAGAGCTGAGCCGCTGCAGGGCCCAGCTGGACCAGGAGAGGCAGAAGGTGGCTGAGCTCTACTCCATCCACAACTCTGGAGACAAGAGTGACATCTGCCAGCTGCTGGAGGGAGTTCGGCTGGACAAGGAGGAGGCGGAGGGCAGGGCTGCCAAACTGCAGGAGGAGCTGAGCCACGCCCGCACTGATGTCACCAGGCTGCAGGACACCCTCAATAAGGTGAGTCCACCACGCACACACCATCCTACAGAGGTAGTACACTTGATCCCTGAACCCACCCTTTTGATAGTTTGCCCATTTTCACCATCAAAGTTGCGAGACTGCTTCTGTCTCCTGTATCCAACTTGTGAAAAGTTGACGAAAGTCCACTTTCCTCCATGTACCTCACCACTGAAATAGAGAATGAGCATTCATTTGGGCCATTTAGTTTATGAATGAGATGATGATTGATTCCCTGGATGGTGTGTGCAGCTTGATAGGGAGTACCGGGACTTCCAGGAGCAGGTGCAGAAGCAGATGGCTGAGCAGAAGCGTGGGCTGGAGAAGCAGCGCGGGGAGCTGCAGGAGAAGGAGACGGAGATCGGCGACATGAAGGAGACCATCTTTGAGCTGGAGGACGAGGTGGAGCAGCACCGAGCCGTAAAACTCCACGACAACCTCATCATCACAGACCTGGAGAGTGAGTGGGCTATGGCCAAGGGGGAAAACATGTCACAGCATCATAGATCTATGCCATATCACATAAGTAAGGCCAGGTCCGGGAGTTTTATGGCACTTTTTGAGGCACTGTGCTTTTACCGGTATTTCCAACATTGTCCACTAGTGTTGCTGCAGGTAGTAAATCTTAGGAAATGTTCTGTAATTAACACAAGCTGTCTCCAATCAATCAATCAATCCATGTCTGGTTGTGCGTGTGTGTTTAGCGGGGAGATCGCCTAAGCCAGGGGAGGCGTAGCTCTGCGAATCTTAATCGCACAAAACCTATTATTTGGCAGGGAATACTATTTGTAGATCAGTGATTCTACAGCACACTTTGCTCAAGCTGATCCTGTCCAACGGACTCGGACGTTGTAACTAAATGGGCCAATTAGGGGAAGTTTCACGCAAAAGTTGACATTCATAAAAAAATTCTACTTGACGAGAGAATGTGCTCACCTCCCCACAAACTTTCGACCATGCGCATGCACATCTGCTAGTGGTTGAAATATTGTGCAAAAAAAACAGGAAAACATATTAACAAGAATGCAGCCATTTGGTGTTAGTGAGATGAGTGAAAATGTGTTTTATTTTTTGAATCTAAAATAATTAGACATAGGAATCTTTTTCCTATTTATTTTATTTTCATAACCATTGCAGAATAAATTCCTCACCTTTTCTGGCCATGATGGGTTCATATTCCCAAAGTAGCCATACAACAAATGACCATGCTCATCTCTCATGGGCCTATTAAATAGATAGGCTATATGTGTTTCAAGTTTTGCCATCCCAAATGCAGCGCGGTTTATAATATAGACCTACAGTTGAATTTAACAGGTGAACAGTTGATCTTTTACATTGAAGTAGGCCTATGTATGCTACTGTAAGTACTGTATTTAATGTTTTTTTTGTGTGTTTTTAGAATTGGTGGGCAGTCCATCATATTTAGGTTGGGGGAAAAGTCGATGCAAAAACATTGTTGAATTCACACGTTCTGCTGACAGGTCCACAACAATTTGCCATTGCTTTCTCCTATAGAAACTGACACAGTCCTTTGCCAGATACAGCATAAATTTGTGCAAAAGATTAAAATATTCTGCCAACACAGTAAAATCTATATTTTGCATAAGCCGTAGCTTATGTTAAATATTTAACTGTATGGGCAGGCTACAGTATTGCTGTGCAATAGTAGCGTGACATCATTGCCTATTTAATATCAGAACCTCTACCAAGGCAGGACATGGAAACCCATAATCAGTGTTGGGGAAGCTACTCTGAAAATATAGTGTACCAAGCTACCAATTACTTCACACTGGAGGAAGTTAAGCTAAACTAAAGCTACCCTTAAAAAATATAGTTTACTTAACTAAAGTTACTTTGAAAAAGTAGTTAACGACATCAAAACTACTTTGTAAAAAATTATCATATGTAAATCTGAAATGTCATAGACGACAAATTGCAAGAACAGATCACTCTGTAGTCTGATGTTAACTGAATGTGTAATTTATTCTATTAATCACAAAAACAATGTTTCAAGTGAGAGTTGGGCAGGTCTGATGCCGAAAAGGAAAGGGAATTATTGCCTATTTCACCCATATTTAATTTTTGTAAAAAGAGTAGTGTATAGTTCCAGTAGTTAGCTACACAACTACATGGCAAAAAAGTTAACTATTGAAAAACACTACCTGATTTGAATGTAGTACAACTAGCACCAAGCTACTGCAAAATGTCGCTAAATTACTAGTTGAACTACATGTAGTTTACTACTCTCCAACGCTGCCAATAATCTATTGATGAACTAAATATTGAACAACAACTTGTCTTTTACATAGAAGTGTGGGCTGTAGCATTTAGCCTAATTGTTTTGAATATACAATCAATCTTGCAGAATTGCAACTTGCTATATAGGCAGCATGCATGTTTAGTTTGAAAAAGTCACTGCAAAATATCCAAACATTCTGCCCACAACTCTACAGAAATATGATCTAAATTGCCATTTCTCTTTCTTATAGAAACTACAGTGGCCTAATTCCAATAGTTTCTAATTATACAGCAAATAAAGGGTTTTATTATCACCATAAAAGGTGAATGGTGGAGTTTTAATGCTCGTTCACGGGCGCACAGTTCTTTTACGACAGGTCTGATTTACACTATCAGTCAAATGTTTATTTAAAAAAAAAAATTACATTGTAGAATAATAGTGAAGACATCAAAACTATGAAATAACACATATGGAATCATGTAGTAACCAAAAAAGTGTTAAACAAATCAAAATATATTTTATATTTGAGATTTTTCAAATAGCCACCCTTTGCCTTGATGACAGCTTTGCACGCTCTTGGCATTCTTTCAACCAGCTTCATGAGGGAGTCACCTGGAATGCATTTCAATTAACAGGTGTGCCTTCTTAAAAGTTAATTTATTTCCTTTTTAATGTGTTTGAGCCAATCAGTTGTGTTGTGACAAGGTAGGGGGGGGGTATACAGATGATAGCCCTATTTGGTAAAAGTCCATATTATGGCAAGAACGGCTCAAATAAGCAAAGAGAAACGACAGTCCATCCATTACTTTAAGATATGAAAGTCAGTCAATACGGAACATTTCAAGTGCAGTCGCAAAAACCATCAAGCGCTATGATGAAACTGGCTCTCATGAGGACCGCCACAGGAATGGAAGACCCAGAGTTACCTCTGTTGCAGAGGATAAGTTCATTAGAGTTACCAGCCTCAGAAATTGCAGCCCAAATAAATGCTTCACAGAGTTCAAGTAACAGACACATGTCAACATCAACTGTTCAGAGGAGACTGTGTGAATCAGGCCTTCATGGTCAAATTGCTGCAAAGAAACCCCTACTAAAGGACACCAATAAGAAGAAGAGACCTGCTTGGGCCGAAACACGAGAAATGGACATTAGACCGGTGGAAATGTGTCCTTTGGTCAGGGTCCAAATTGGAGATTTTTGGTTCAAACCGCCATGTCTTTGTGAGACGCGGTGTGGGTGAACGGATGATCTCCGCATGTGTATTTACCACCGTAAAGCATGGAGGAGGAGGTGTTATGGTGTGGGGGTGCTTTGCTGGTGACACTGTCTGTGATTTATTTAGAATTCAAGGCACACTTAACCAGCATGGCTACCACAGCATTCTGCAGCGATACTCCTCCCATCTGGTTTGGGCTTAGTGGGACTATCATTTGTTTTTCAACAGGACAATGACCCAAACACCTCCAGGCTGTGTAAGGGCTATTTTACCAAGAAGGAGAGTGGAGTGCTGCATCAGATGACCTGGCCTCCACAATTCCCCGACCTCAACCCAATTGAGATGGTTTGGGATGAGTCGGACGGCAGAGTGAAGGAAAAGCAGCCAACAAGTGCTTAGCATATGTGGGAACTCCTTCAAGACTGTTGGAAAAGCATTTCAGGTGAAGCTGGTTGAGAGAATGCCAAGAGTGTGCAAAGCTGTCATCAAGGCAAAGGGTGGCTATTTGAAGAATCTCAAATATAAAATATATTTTGATTAGTTTAACACTTTTTTGGTTACTACATGATTCCATATGTGTTATTTCATAGTTTTGATGTCTTCACTATTATTCTACAATGTAACAAATAGTAAAAATAAAGAAAAACCCTTGAATGAATAGGTGTGTCCAAACCTTTGACTGGTACTGTATAACGGGAAACATTCGTATACCATGGTGCGCCAAGTCTATAAATCTCTGTATTTTTGTAAGTGCGCAGAATTTTCAGACATTTTGTGTGAAATTTATGCAATGGTTATAAATGAAGCCCCTGGCTCTACACATAAGACATAACACTGGAACCCCACAATGCATTTTCCACCTTTGGCCAGTGCCACATGGTGGCTGTGTAGAGCTGTGTCAGGCTTCTTGCAGCCAGAGGAAACTGTGAACAGTAGGAGTGTGCCAAGTACTTGGACAAAACAAGTATTGTAATGTATATGGAGAATTTTCCGTGTACGATTATGACTAGTATTTTTTGGGGAATTACAGTTGAAGTCGGAAGTTTACATACACTTAGGTTGGAGTCATTAAAACTCGTTTTTCAGCCACTCCACAAATTTCTTGTTAACAAACTATAGTTTTGGCAAGTCAGTTAGGACATCTACTTTGTGCATGACACAATTTTTCCAACAATTGTTTACAGATATATTATTTCACTTATAATTCACTGTATCACAATTCCAGTGGGTCAGAAGTTTACATACACTAAGTTGACTGTGCCTTTAAACAGCGTGGAAAATTCCAGAAAATGATGTCATGGGTTTAGAAGCTTCTGATAGGCTAATTGAAATCATTTGAGGCAATTGGAGGTGTACCTGTGGATGTATTTCAAGGCCTACCTTCAAACTCAGTGCCTCCTTGCTTGACATCATGGGAAAATCAAAAGAAATCAGCCAAGCCCTCAGAAAAAAAATTGTAGACCTCCACAAGTCTGGTTCATCCTTGGGAGCAATTTCCAAATGCCTGAAGGTACCACGTTCATCTGTACAAACAATAGTACGCAAGTATAAACACCATGGGACCACGTAGCCGTCATACCGCTCAGGAAGGAGACGCGTTCTGTCTCCTAGAGATGAACATTCTTTGGTGCGAAAAGTGCAAATCAATCCCAGAACAACAGCAAAGGACCTTGTGAAGATGCTGGAGGAAATGGGTACAGTAAAACGAGTCCAATATCGACATAACCTGAAAGGCCGCTCAGCAAGGAAGAAGCCACTGCTCCAAAACTGCCATAAAAAGCCAGACTACGGTTTGCAACTGCACATGGGCACAAAGATCGTACTTTTTGGAGAAATGTCCTCTGGTCTGATGAAACAAAAATAGAACTGTTTGGCCATAATGACCATCGTTATGTTTGGAGGAAAAAGGTGGGAGCTTGCAAGCCGAAGAACACCATCACAACCGTGAAGCACGGGGGTGGCAGCATCATGCTGTGGGGGTGCTTTGCTGCAGGAGGGACTGGTGCACTTCACAAAATAGATGGCATCATGAGGAAGGAAAATTATGTGGATATATTGAAGCAACATCTCAAGACATCAGTCAGGAAGTTAAAAATGGGTTGCAAATGGGTCTTCCAAATGGACAATGACCCCAAGCATACTTCCAAAGTTGTGGCAAAATGGCTTAAGGACAACAAAACCAAGGAATTGGAGTGGCCATCACAAAGCCCTGACCTCAATCCTATAGAAAATGTGTGGGCAGAACTGAAAAGGCGTGTGCGAGCAAGGAGGCCTACAAACCTGACTCAGTTACACCAGCTCTGTCAGGAGGAATGGGCCAAAATTCACCCAAGTTATTGTGGGAAGCGTGTGGAAGGCTACTCGAAACGTTTGACCCAAGTTAAACAATTTGAAGGCAATGCTACCAAATACTAATTGAGTATGTAAACTTCTGACCCACTGGGAATGTGATGAAAGAAATAAAAGCTGAAATAAATAATTCTCTCTACTGTTATTCTGACATTTCACATTCTTAAAATAAAGTGGTGATCCTAACTGGGAATTTTTACTAGAATTAAATGTCAGAAATTGTGAAAATCAGAGTTTAAATGTATTTGGCTAAGGTGTATGTAAACTTCTGACTTCAACTGTATTTGTGATCGGAAAAAGTTATTATCAGCTGCCAGCATGGATCTCGCTTTCTCTCAAACAGTGTGAAGCACTGTGTGCTCCAAACAACATTGACTAGTTATTCTGTCTGTAAAGAAACTTGTGGCGTTTCGGTTGCGCCTGCTGCAACGATTGGATTAGAACAAGCCACTCTCGTTCTGCTCTCATTTAATTTGACATTTTAGTCATTTAGCAGACTCTCTTATCCAGAGCGACTTACAGTAGTGAGTGCATACATTTTCGTACTGTTCCCCCTTGGGAACTGAAACACACAACTCTGGTTTTGCAAGCGCCATGCTGTACCAACTGAGCCACACGGGACCACATTTCCCCAGACACACGTGGCTGTTTTCAAAGCCAATGCTTCTTGCAATTATTATTTATTCTGGCCCAGGCATGTTTACAGAGCGACAGATCATAAAATAATAAAAGTACAAATGTATATAGGTTTTTTATATTGTACAAATGTTGTGGCATAAGTGTCGGGAGAGAGGTTTTGCTCCTCTCGAAAGTGAAACAATATACGAGGCAAGCGAATTAGCCTACCTTCATCTAAATCTGTCTGGAATAAATGCAGGCAGTAGTAGCCAGCCATGTATTAGGGTATTCATTAGCCTATTTAGTTGATAATTGAATAGGGCTAAGGAAGGAGCTTTGTTGATTTGTGTGTTCATAAGTCACTCAGTATTCATACCCCTTGACTTATTCCACATTTTGTTGCGTTACAGCCTGAATTCAAAATGGATTCAATAAATGTTTCTCACCCATCTACCCACAAAACCTACAGGAGGGTAGCTCTCCAGAAACAGGGTTGGGCAACCCTGGTCTAGGGTATCCGGGATGATGCTGTTGATGTGAGCCATGACCAGCCTTTCAAAGCACTTCATGGCTACCGATGTGAGTGCTACAGGGCGGTAATCATTTAGGCAGGTTACCTTCGCTTCCTTGGGCACAGGGACTATGGTGGTCTGCTTGAAACATGTAGGTATTACAGACTCGGTCCGGGAGAGGTTAAAAATGTCAGTGAAAACACTTGCCAGTTGGTCCGTGCATGCTTTGAGGACACGTCCTGGTAATACGTCTGGCCCCGCGGCTTTGTGAATCTTGACCTGTTTAAAGGTCTTGCTCACATCAGCTACCGAGAGCATTATCACACAGTCGTCTGGAACATTATTATTTTAAAAAGTTCTTCAAACTCTGTCAAGTTGGTTGTTGATCATTGCAAGCCATTTTCAAGTCTTGCCATAGATTTTCAAGACGATTTAAGTCAAAACTGTAAGTAGGCCACTCAGGAACATTCAATGTCGTCTTGGTAAGCAACTCGTGTATATTTGGCCTTGTGTTTTAGGTTATTGTTCTGCTGAATGGTGAATTTGTTTCCCAGTGTCTGTTGCAAAGCAGACTGAACCAGATTTTGACTGGGCTTAGCGCTATTCCATTAATTTTTATCCTAAAAAAACTCCCTAGTCCTTGCCGATGACAAGCATACCCATAACATGATGCAGCCACCACCATGCCTGAAAATATGAAGAATGGTACATACTGTGTTGTGTTGGATTTGCCCCAAACATAACGCTTTATATTCAGGACATAAAGTTAATTTTACTTTAGTGCTTTATTGCAAACAAGATGCATGTTTTGAAATATGTGTATTCTGTACAGGCTTCCTTCTTTTCACTCTGTCATTTAGGTTAGTATTGTGGAGTAACTACAATGTTGTTGATCCATCCTCAGTTTTCTCCTAGTACAGCCGTTAAACTATGTAACTGTTTTAAAGTCCGCATTGGCCTCATGGTGAAATCCCTGAGCGGTTTCCTTCCTCTCCGGCAACTGAGTTAGGAAGCATGCCTGTATCTTTGTAGTGACTGGGTGTATTGATACACCATACAAAGTGTCATTAATAACTTCACCATGCTCAAAGGGATATTCAATGTCTGCTTTTTTTTTTTTACCCATCTACCAATAGGTGCCCTTCTTTGCGAGGCATTGGAAACCCTCCCTGGTCTTTGTGGTTGACTCTGTTTGAAATCCACTGTTTGATTGAGGGACCTTACTGATAATTGAATGTGTGGGTACAGAGAAGAGGTAGTCATTCAAAAATCATTTTAAACACTATTATTGCACACAGTGTGTTCATGCAACTTATTATGTGACTTGTGAAGCACATTTTTACTCCTGAACTTATTTAGGCTTGCCATAACAAAGGGGTTGAATTCTCAAGACATTTCAGCTTTTCATTTCAAATTAATTTGTAAACATTTCTAAAATCATAATTCCACTTTGACATTATGGGGTATTGTGTGTAGGCCAGTGACACACAATCAAAATGTATCAATTTAAATTCAGGCTGTAACAACAAAATGTGGATAAAGTCAAGGGGTATAAATACTTTCTGAAGGCACTGTATTACCATATTGCTTACACCTGTCAAATCCTAACAAAGGGGTTGAATACTTATTGACTCAAGACATTTCAGTGGTATTGTGTGTAATCCATTTTAAATTCAGGCTGTAACACAACAAAATGTGGAAAATGTCAAGGAGTGCGAATACTTTCTGAAGGCACTGTATTGAACTTGTTGTTATTTAACATAAAATAACATGTTAACTTTGATACGCTTGGTAGATAAAAGTCAATCATGTTTTGCCTTTGAGACTCCTTGACATGTAGCTATATTGCTATTGGCATCAATGGGATTCAGTTTACTTCATAGACTGAATTACACAATAATTAACCCTAACCTCTAGTTTCATAAATTGGTGCAGCTAAGGTCAGTGTCTCTGTCGGCTCTTGAATTGTTTGAAAGCAGATTCTCTTCCTGCGCTGCATGTGAATATATCCTGTGGCCCGTTCACATGAACTCAGCCATGTCTGCTTCCTCCCTCAGACTCTGTGAAAAAACTGCAGGACCAGAAGCGCGATATGGAGCGGGAGATTAAGATTCTGCACCGGAGGCTGAGGGTGAGTGGGCCAGTGGACAGGGTCATCTGAGGACCAGAGGTTACTGACACGGTCAAGTACAGCAACACTATGGCTTGGTTTGGGCCATGTTCATTACAACTGGAATACACTGGAAAGCAATATGTTTGGTTACACAACTTTTCTTATTAGATTTATCATTCGGCCTCAGTGGTCGAAATTATGTTGCTGTGTGTATGTGTCTGTTTGTCTGTTCAGGAAGAGTCGGCAGAGTGGCGTCAGTTCCAGGCCGATCTACAGACGGCCGTGGTCATCGCTAATGACATCAAGTCGGAAGCACAGGAGGAGATTGGGGATATGCGGCACCGTCTCCGCGAGGCCCAGGAGAAGAACGAGAAGCTGGGCAAGGAGCTGGACGAAGTCAAGAACCGCAAGTAAGAGACACTGAGGAACACGCTGTGCTTGATTCCAAGTGTCATGTGGCCGACGCCAGCTGTCTTGATCGTATTGGGGAGATGTGTGTGTGTGCGGGTTAAACAGTGATAGTCACATTGATGAAGCTGGATGTGGTGGTCTGAATTTGCATCCACATGAAATGCGTGAGGTGAGACCTGATGTGCCTTGGTCTGTATTGAGTGTGTTGGTGTTTGTCTCGTCAGGCAGGATGAGGAGAGGGGCAGGGTGTATAACTACATGAATGCAGTGGAGAGGGATCTGGCTGCACTGAGGCAGGGCATGGGCCTGAGCCGTCGCTCCTCTACCTCCTCTGAGCCCTCTCCCACCGTCAAAACCCTCATCAAGAGCTTCGACAATGCCTCCTCACAAGGTACCCCAACCTGCGAGTGTAAGAAATTGACCACTTTTTTGTACTTTTCTCATTTCACCTGTATAATATTCCTAGTACTAAGCATAGCAGTAACACTGCTACTAATACAATGTAGTAGTATTGCTGTGGGATATCTACCTGACGTGACTGATTTCTGTTCACAACAGGCCCAGTCCCCCCGACCACAGCACCTGCTGCCACATTACCACGCACTCCCCTGAGCCCCAGCCCCATGAAGACCCCTCCTGCAGCCGCCATCTCACCCATACAGGTACGCCACCTGGAACCCATTTCAGTGCATTTGTTTGAATGGCAAGCTCTAAGTGTAGGCATCAGGTCAAGCACACAATACAAATCTGGCTTACACTAGACCAGTCATTCACACATAGCTACAGTGCATTCGGAAAGTATTCAGACACTTCACTTTTTCCACATTTTGTTACGTTACAGCCTTATTCTAAAATTAATTAAGTTGTTTTTTTCCCTCATCAATCTACGCACAATACCCCATAATGACAGTGAAAACTGGTTTTTAGAAATTTTTGCAAATGTATAAAAAGAAAACAAACCTTATTTACATAAGTATTCAGCCCCTTTGCTCTGAGACTCGAAATTGAGCTCAGGTGCATCATGTTTCCCTTGATGTTCCTACAACTTGAGTGGAGTCCACCTGTGGTACATTCAATTGATTGGACATGATTTGGAAAGGCACACACCTGTCTATATAAGGTCCCAGAGTTGACAGTGCATGTCAGAGCAAAAACCAAGCCATGAGGTCGAATGAATTGTCCGTAGAGCTCAGAGACAGGATTGTGTCAAGGCACAGATCTGGGGAAGGGTACCAAAAAATGTCTGCGGCATTGAAGGTCCCCAAGAACACAGTGGCCTCCATCATTCTTAAATGGAAGAAGTTTGGAACCACCAAGACTCTTCCTAGAGCTGGCCCCCTGGCCAAACTGAGCAATCGGGGGAGAAGGGCCTTGGTAAGGGAGGTGACCAAGAACCCGATGGTCACTCTGACAGAGCTCCAGAGTTCCTCTGTGGAGATGGGAGAACCTTTCAGAAAGACAACCATCTCTGCAGCACTCCACCAATCAGGCCTTTTATGGTAGAGTGGCCAGACGGAAGCCACTCCTCAGTAAAAAGCACATGACAGCCCGCTTGAAGTTTGCCAAAAGGCACCTAAAGGACTCTCAGACCATGAGAAACAAGATTTTCTGGTCTGATGAAACCAAGATTGAACTCTTTGGCGCCATCCTTACGGTGAAGCATGGTGGTGGCAGGATCATGCTGTGGGGATGTTTTTCAGCGGCAGGGACTGAGACTAGTCAGGATCGAGGGAAAGATGAACGGAGAAAAGTACAGAGAGATCCTTGATGAAAGAAGATGAATCCTTGTACAGAGAGATCCCTGCTCCAGAGCGCTCAGGACAGCCTGGGGCGAAGGTTCACCTTCCAACAGGACAACGACCCTAAGCATACAGCCAAGACAACTCAGGAGTGGCTTTGGGACAAGTCTCTGAAAATCCTTGAGGGGCCCAGCCAGAGCCCGGACTTGATCCTGATCGAACATCTCTGAAGAGACCTGAAAATAGCTGTGCAGCGACGCTCCCCATCCGACCTGGCAGAGCTTGAGAGGATCTGCAGAGAAGAATGTGAGAAACTCCCCAAATACAGGTGTGCCAAGCTTATAGCGTCATACCCAAGAAGACTCAATGCTGTAATCACTGCCAAAGGTGCTTCAACAAAGTACTGAGTAAAGGGTCTGAATACTTATGTAAATCTGATATTTCCGTTTTTTATTTTTAAGAAATTTGCCAAATTTTCTGAAAACCTGTTTTTGGTTTGTCATTATGGGGTATTGTGTGTAGATTGATGAGAAGAAGGGAAACAATTGAATCCATTATAGAATACGACTTGTGGAAAAGGTCAAGGGGTCTGAATACTTTCCGAATGCACTGTATTTATCAAGGTCTATCAAATTGTGTGTTTTAGAACTGCCAGAGCAGTATGGCAAGGAATTGTTGTCTGTGCTGACTAGATCAGGGAGCAGTGCAGTAGTGAAAGAGTTATTGTGACCACCGGGTCAAGAGCTGTCCTATATTCACAGTGTTTATAGACCTCCAATACTCCACAGATAGCACTTCCTCCTCTTCCTCTGACACTTTGTCACAGCTGACAGTCCCTTGGCTTGCCTCATACACAGACCATGAGATGGAAAAGAGATATTGAGTTGTTGGAGAATATGTCCCATAGCTCTAATTCCATTACCTCACTTTCCCTTAATTTACATTTTGGTAATTTAGCAGATGCTCTTATCCAGAGTGACTTAGTCAGTGCATCCAAGTAATCCATATGACCCATAGATTCTTTCTCATGTTTTAAACTCTCACACATTTTTTCAAACATGTCAGCTGTTTGGCTCTAACACATTTTTTATGAAACTGCAATGTAATGTTGTCACGATACCAGAATTGACTTAGATACCGATGCCAGGTTTAGTATCACGAAACTCAATACCATCACGATACTCAATACCAAAACGATACCAAGGGGGGAAAAATAAGACGTATTAGCCAAAGTCGCAGAGTGGCACTTGATCCAGACAGATCTTTTGATTTCAAAATCATTACATTTGAAATGTTAGATTTTTTTATGTAAGCATTAATGAATCAATTATACAATCACACAATCAATTTGACTTCGTTTTTACCAATCTAACTACATAACAACATAATGGTAATCATTTATTTGAATGGAACATCTCTAGTCTGTTGATAAACTGGGTAAATCAAGATGTAGCCTAGGCCTATTTCAATACAGGTGAATGCATATTCAATAGGAGTGTGTGCATGCATTGAGTTATTGAACTTATTTTGGCTGATTTAATGGGGTTCCAAATGAAAAACTATCTCTTTCCCTTCCATTTTGGATTTATTTTATTGTACTGATCAACAACATATGCATAGAAGAAGCAATATCTTCTTATATAAGTGTGCTCTGTCTTTTTAAGCCCCATGACGTAAGCATTTCACCGTTAGTCTACCCCTGTTGTTTACGAAGCATATGACAAATACAATTTGATTTGATTCACACACACACACACTCAGTTCGAGGCTCGAGCAAAGATGATCTTGGCCAAATCCCAAATGGACCCCTAAGCCCTACACCCTATGTACTTATGGAGATGTGACAGGTGTAAGCAATATGGTAATAGTTCCACCTTGCCCTGTAATAGGCTAGGTGGAAATGTCACTATATTGCTTATACCAATCAAATCCTCTCAGATCTCCACAAGTGAATAGTGTGTACGACTTGGGATTCCATTTGGGATTGGGCGGGAGAGATGAAGTGAATGAATAAAGTTTTTGGTGACAATCAGCTTTAAAATCAGCAATATTTTGCGTTATGGTGTTGCATATTATCTCAAACAAGGTAATAGGGTGGTGAATTGATGTTAGCTTCAGCTGTAAGCTAGTAAGGAAAGTTAGCCTACAAAGCTGGAAGCTACCGGTATCTTCTTGCATTGTAAAGTGTTTTAGCCTGTAATGGACATTGTTTTGCGAACAGTAATTAACAGTTTCAAAATGTCTACATGCCGTGTTGCATTAACTTCTGTGTTAACTTCTGTGCAACAGAAGTGGTGATGTAGCCCAGTGCAGTGGGACAGGCTAGAGCTAGCAATGAGTAAGTGGAGCAGGCACGGTGCTCTCAAACTATAAGGGGATATCAGCTGATCTGATGGAAAGACTTGATCCTCTCTCAATCAGTAGACGACGTGAGACACATTTGACAGAAGTACCGAAGGCAATACAAATTCTAGTTTCGAACTGTTTTTCAGGTTTTAGTATCGCAAAAGTACTTACGTTTCGGTATACCGTGCAATGGCATACAGCAGTGGCATTCACATTTGTGGGCGGGGGAACTGCAGTGGTGCCAAAAAACTTTTTTTTAACAAAGTTACGGGTACAAATTATTGTATGAGACAATATACAAACGTTTTGAGAAAGATAATTTGAAAAATACCATTTCACTAAATGTATTTATTGGTTTCTTTTCATTTTGATAAGAGATGAAAATGCAATGAATTGAAGGTTATTTGTTGATGTAAAAGTTTAAATTTACTGATAAAAAAAAGAAGAAGTTGTCATTAGATTTGGGGTGGGGTGAGGTTGCGGTGAGGTTGCGAGAAATCTTGGGGAAACAATGGGGTCCCCAGAAATTCTGCCTGAAAAAAAATGGGGTCCCCGCTGAAAAAGTTTGAATACCACTGTGAAATAGTATAAGGACAAATTCAGTCATTCCATGTAATACTGTGGACAGACGGGCAAAATCTGAGCATTGGATATTTTATATGCATTATTTTAGCAGAGAATCAGATCTTCTCATATGAAAGGGTCAAAGTTCAGGGAGAGATAGGTTTTTCTATTTCCTAGACACATTTCATAAGTCTTCAGTCCTGCTCTTTCTCATCTATCATTGACCTCCTCTGCAGTCACAAGATTATTGCCAATGCCTGGTTGCTAGTGCTGCTGTCAGAATGGCCTCTCATCGAGCTGGGCCTTTTTCCAGAAATGGCACACAGTTTGGCTACTACTATTTGGATTATGTAGACATTTTCAATAGGTCTTTGGATAAAAAAAGGGGTTTAGGTGGTGGGCGTGGCAGGAGGCGTGGTAGGGGGCATGGTAATGAGCACTGTCGGCCTATCAGAGTGGCTACATTTTAGAGGCCCACATCTTGTAGAGAAGTGTTTGCATTTTTAAGCCATTTTCCTGCAATTCAACAAATTTCTCCATGGAGCTGAGAGAAAACGTTGCAGTTTTTAACCTAATTTCCTGTGATTCTGTGATGGAGCTGAGAACTTTTTGGTTTCAAAGCTATTTTCCTGCAATTCTATGCATTTTGCTGAGGGTTAATGCAGTGTTCTTTTGCTCAAACATAATAACAAAATGAATACTCAATTCTCCCTGACTGTCTAGCTTTTATTTTGGTGATTGTTCATTCTCAAAGATTATATTATTTTAAAATGAATAGGTTCATTATCTTTTTCAGATACTTTATATCTGCTTTTAGTCTAAGTTTACACTGAAAGCGTTTTTCCAGCCCTTTATTTAATTTTTGTATTATTACACTGTTTGGACTTAGGCGGCCTGAAAAAACGCTTAGGCGGACCGCCCAAGGATTATGTATGTGAGAGAGTTTTAATCCAACGATTGTTGGTCTATTTCAGAGACACTCCATTACCGGGTCCATCTCTGCACCCAAACCCCTCTCGTCTCTGAGTGACAAAAGGCCCAGCTACACAGACATCAGCATGCCAGGTGAGTCGGCAGAAACACTGACACTGACAGAAAAAGCTCCATATCTGGATCTCATTCGGTCCCTCATTAATAAAATGAGAGAGGAGTACTCTGTCACAACCACTCATAAAGGAGGGAAATGGGTGCAGATATTATACCATTTCATCTTAGACATCTTTGTTCCTCCTAGTATTAGGCTGTCTGTGTTGGTCAAAACAGTATGTGGATATATTTGTCATTTGTAAGTTTGGAGGTGCTTTGCGCCCAAAGCAGGGGGGTGGGTGTCTTTAGCCCCTAAGTCAGCAGAGCTTTATGTTGACTTTGGTGTGTGGGTTTAGCAAAGCACCATAGAAAGGGGGTGTCCCAGTGATTGGCCTCCCTGTTAATCCTCATTCCCCATACATTTTGTCATACATATTCTAGTGAGTTCAAGGACCTGTAAATGTGAACGTGCTATAATGGTCATGGCCTCCAATGTTTAGTTAAATGTCCCGGTTGTTTTCTAACCTCATTCCATGGTACTTGACAGTTCCAGGGCCTGGAATGTTGCATTGACCCCTTCAGTATATATTTTTAAAAATCCCTCTTGCTTAAAACTAATATTTGAAGGGAATAGGAAGTCACTTTATTTCAGTGCAATGTTTCTGTTTCCTCACTGTGGTTGTGGGGTTGTCTTCCATCCACAGCAGAGCATCTTCTCAGGGGCTCCTCTGCCAGCCGCCCTGCCTCTGCACTCCAGAGGGTCTCCAACATGGACTCATCAAAGGCCATGGCCATCTCAGGTATCACAAATCATGGACATATGAATAGGCCATGAAATAAATCTAAAATTCTTATAAATGGTTGCCAGTAAAATGAAATGCATTTTGAGAAAGAATTCAACGACATTTGACAAATATATTTTTCCAGAACACGTCACTGGCAGTGAAGGGTCACTCACACTGTATCTCTGTCTGTTTGTGTGGTGGCCAGTGTCCCGCAGGAGCAGTGAGGAGATGAAGAGGGACATCTCTGCCCCTGAAGGTGGCTCCTCCTCTCTGATGGCCATGGGGTCTGCTTCCTCCTTGTCCTCCTCCTCCCCCACTGCCTCTGTCACCCCCACCGCACACAGCCGGCTCCGGTAACACCCTCATCAGCTCCATACCTTTGATACAATACATACTAATCCACTAAGTCCTTTGTATGTTTAACATGATATTTTGACTATACTAAATGGGCTTTGTGGACTAGCCAGTCAATGGAGTCTGAATATGTGTGTTAACTCAAATGATTCACTGCCCTCTCCTACGTGGTGTGTGTGTTCAGAGAGGAGCGGAAGGACCCCCTCTCAGCGTTGGCCCGGGAGTATGGGGGCTCCAAGAGGAACGCACTGCTCAAGTGGTGCCAGAAGAAGACTGAGGGGTACCAGGTATGTGTTGTTCAGTCAGAACAGACTGGTCAGGTCATTTCACCTCTCGGGTCGCTCTCTGTTGATGAGGATTTCTTTTTAAAATGTCTCAATAGTTTTTCTATAAGCTCAACTATCTGGAGTGACAATCTAATTAAATAACCTTGTCAGAATGGGTGGGTGAGGTGTGCAACTCTATTAGGAAGGTGTTCCTAATGTTTGGTATACTCAGTGTACATTCATACTACACACACACACATCACAACTGCAGCTTCCAGACTCTTATTATGATTGCTAAATACTGTACAATTTAAACACTTGCCCCCCAATCCCCCCTTCGCCAAAACACGTGTAAATATTGGACTATAAATTGTACCTTCCTGTAATATAATTATGCTAAAATGTTTATTCTATTCTACTGAGCCATTTACTTTATGTTCGTATTTTTATCTTTTCTTATTTCTTATTGTTGCATTGTTGAGAAGGAACCAGCCATTAAGCATTTCGTTGGACGGTGTATACTGTGTATCCCGTACATATGACTAATAAAACTTGAAACTAGTAGAAAGATTAAACAACAAGGTGCTTTTAGGACCAATGTCTGGGACCCAGTATCTATTGAATTATCAATACAAAAAACTCCTGCACCCTACATTTCTTTACACTGTACCTTTGTGCTACAATGAAAATCTTTCCCCTCTTTCTGGCAGAACATTGACATAACAAACTTCAGCAGCAGCTGGAATGACGGCCTTGCGTTCTGCGCTGTGCTCCACACCTACCTGCCTGCTCACATCCCCTACCAGGAGCTCACCAGCCAGGAAAAGGCAAGCCTATTTCCTACTGTAGTGATGATGAGTAACAATGGGGTCACGACAGGGCTCATGGAAACAGGAAGTCGGTACAATTTCATAAATGTCAACAGACAATTGGTTCGTTCGACATGGTGGGATCTTTTTGTGTGAGTATAATTATTTGAGAAATGGCAGTGGGAATGCCAAATATTGACTTAATAACCATCATATTGAAGTCAACTTGGAGTCAATCAATGATATGGGCCTACCACCACCACGTGGAAAAGAATCAAACGTTTATAGGCAGGTGAAATAAGTTATGATGAACTTCACATGGTGGTTAAGTGCACGGTATTCATGCACATTTCCAATAGGCTAAATATCGAGGGTACGCTATTATTTGAATGCTGGTGACAGGATTGGTTCTTGGCTGCCAATGATCAAATAAAATGATCTTGCGCTTATCCATATCTCATCATATAATCAACCTCCTTTCAACTTTATCAGGTCTTGTCTAGAGAGCATGCGCCAAAACCAGATTGTGCAAGGTTAAGTTGAAATTGCGATGGAAACCCATGTAACGTACGTTTTTTATTCGGTACATGGGAACTTAACCGCAAAAGTCATTTTTATGTGCACTACATAATCACGCACAGCCTTTTATACGCAACAAGTCAGTTTGATGGAAATGCACATATTGTTTTTATGCAGATTTTAGAATATATTTGCATGAAAATCTGTCGCCAATTGGATGGAAACCTAGCTATTGTTTAATCTTTTACAGTTGTTTCATTCTGTCAGGGAGCATTATAGTATGTGAATGTGTGTTTTTGTCTCCCAATCTTTAGAGGCGGAATTTCACACTAGCCTTCCAGGCTGCAGAGAGTGTGGGGATCAAGTCCACTCTGGTAAGATTCAAGTGAAAGATTGACTGAACTGTGAATAACAGAGGTGTTTTTCACATGAACATATTAAAGCTATATCTGACATGGTTAAAAAAAAATCCTGTTTTTAATAGAGAATCTTTCAGGCTCATTTCACCTTAAAAATCAGTCACTGGCACAGTGGTGAATTGTGACCTGCTATTCTATTGCATATTGAGAATGGTATTCTTTTTGTGTGGGATTGAGGACTGTACTCACAGGCTCTTATAGGCAGACTCTTGTAGAGAAGAGATACATATTTTAGATGAAATACTGCTTTCATTGTACATATGTGCAGGCTTGCAGGTGAAGTTTTATAGGATCACCTGGAAAGCTATTTTAGTCCTTTTCACAAAATAAGTCCTCACATTAAGAAAGTATTCAGACCCCTTCCCTTTTTCCACATTTTGTTACGTTACAGCCTTATTCTAAAATGTATTAAATAAAATGTTTTCCTCATCAACCTACACATAATACCCCATAATGACATTTATAAAATATAAAAAAACTGATACCTTTTTCATATAAGTATTCAGACCCTTTGCTATGACACTCGAAATTGAGCTCCGGTGCATCATGTTTCCATTGATCATCCTTAATGATGTTTCTACAACTTGGTTGGAGTCCTCCTGTGGTAAATTCAATTGATTGGACAAGATTTGGAAAGGCACATACCTGTCTATATAAGGTCCCACAGTTGACAGTGCATGTCAGAGCAAAAACCAAGCCATGAGGTCGAAGGAATTGTCCGTAGGGCTCCAAGACAGGATTGTGTCGAGGCACAGATCTGGGGAAGGGTACCAAAAAAATTCTGCAGCATTGAAGGTCCCCAAGAACACAGTGGCCTCCATCATTCCTAAATGGAAGAAGTTTGGAACCACCAAGACTCTTCCTAGAGCTGGCCGTCCGGCCAAACTGGGCATTCGGGGGAGAAGGACCTTTGTCAGAACCCGATGATCACTCTGAGATTGAACTCTTTGGCCTGAATGTCAAGCGTCACGTCTGGATGAAACCTGGCACCATCCCTACAGTGAAGCATGGTGGTGCATGGTCCCGTGTAGCTCAGTTGGTAGAGCATGGCGCTTGCAACGCCAGGGTTATGGGTTCGTTTCCCACGGGGGGCCAGTATGAAAAATGCATGCACTCACTAACTGTAAGTCACTCTGGATAAGAGCGTCTGCTAAATGACTAAAATGTAAATGGCAGCATCATGCTGTGGGGATGTTTTTCAGCGGCAGGGACTGGGAGACTAGTCAGGATCGATGCAAAGATGAACGGAGCAAAGTACAGAGAGGTCCTTGATGAAAACCTGCTCCAGTGCGCTCAGGATCTCAGACTGAGGGGACGGTTCACCTTCCAACAGGACAATGACCCTAAGCACACTGCCAAGACAACGCAGGAGTGGCTTTGGGACAAGTCTCTGAAAATCCTTGAGGGGCCCAGCCAGAGCCTGGACTTGAACCCGATCTAACATCTCTGGAGAGACCTGAAAATAGCTGTGCAGCAACGCTCCCCATCCAACCTGACAGCGCTTGAGAGGATCTGCAGAGAAGAATGGGAGAAACTCCCCAAATACAGGTGTGCCAAGCTTGTAGCGTCATACCCAAGAAGAATCGAGGCTGTAATCACTGCCAAAGGTGCTTCAACAAAGTGTCTGAATACTTATGTAAATGAGATATTTACGGTTGTTTTTTGAATTACATTTGCAAAATGTTCTAAAAACACGATTTTGCTTTGTCATTATGGGGTATTGTGTGTAGATTGATGAGGAGAAAAAACTATTTAAACTATTTTAGAATAAGGCTGTAACGTAACAAAATGTGGAAAGAGTCAAGGGGTCTGAATACTTTCCGAATGCACTGTATATCACTGGTACCCATAGCTAGGTATAAAGCAGGCTCCGTGTGAGTTGTAAACTGACAGATTTGTTGTACGAGTTCAGTTGAAAATGCTAGCTCTAATTTTCTGAATTTATGCCACAAAAGCACATTTCTGACCTCCACAGTGAATTCTAGTCAGGCTGTGGAAATCTGACCTAGACAAACAACAGCATGTTATTTCATGTTTTTTTTTTTTTTTACAAACGTCTCCTTGAGATAGAGATATATATATATATATATATATATATATATATATATATATATATATATATATATATATATATATATATATATATATATATAATACAAAGATGAACAAATGGCACAGACTTTTTTTCTAGACATGGTATGTCTTAATGACAAAGCCCCTGTTGCTTCAACTTGGTCTCATTCTCTGTTTTGCAGGACCTCAATGAGATGGCCAGTACTGAGAGACCAGACTGGCAGAGTGTGATGACCTATGTCACAGCCATCTACAAGTACTTTGAGACCTGATGTGATCTCTCCACCCAACATGGCAAGCACAACCTGCAGCCCAGTCCGCTTGCTCCTCTGACCTCACCACACCTCCACCACTTCACCTCCACATTCAATTCAGCTGTTATACCTCACTTCACTGAACCACCCTTCACCCCAGCACCCAGCCATGCCGCACACCGGCCACTCTGTCTCTGGTCTAGACGCCTGCTAGTTTGAATCACCATAAGAAACAAATAAGCTCACTGTTGACTTCTTAAAGCTATTCATGGAATTGCAATGATGAACAGTCTGACATTTTTCACTGACACATTTAGTGTGATGAACACAGCCTAAGGGTACTTCAAGCACCTGTTCAGCGCCTGCTCTGTTTGGGATGCTATTTTTACTCTTATCCATTACTGGATAACCCAGTTGAGATGACCCTCAATCCAAATTCTCTGGTTAAACCTGTATGATCTGAGCTGCAATAAGAGCCTGCAGATCTACTAGCTCTCCTCTCCATGACCAGAATTGGGGAACATGCTACAGACTATTCCAGCCTTTGTGCCTTGCACCCGGCTTTGATTCTTCTAACCAAGTGGTTATCCCAAATGTTTTAGCCAAACCATACCCAGTGTGCAGTGTGTCCACCCTAGTAATCATGGGACAAATTTCAGATGGAAATCAGACAAAGCCTTTTTGCTCCATGTCTTCCTGATCCATTGAACACTTTGTGCAGGGGCCTCTTCTATTATGGATTAAGTGCCTGTTTGAATCACATCGTTGGAGACTTACCAAGAGACGGTTGGAGTAAAAATTGATAAATGAAACATTTCAATGCTCCATTCTTTCAAAGCATCTTTGGAGGAATCTAAATGAAACGTTTTAGAAATTATTCTGTAGTTATATGAACACTAGCTACATCATAAGGGAAAAGCTGTCAGGTGCTCTCTTGGTCACCTGTGAGATTCTAGTTACAATTTGATATGCTTTTGGCCTATTTTCAGGAGAGTGATCATTGATACATTAGCATAATTTGTTTTGCTAACAGAGACCAACTAATAGAAAACAATGGAATATACAGGACCAACACAATGTCTCTCAGTGATGGTTCGCTCACATAGAACTGTTTTAATCCTGAACCAAAAAAGTAACTTGCTCAAGTGTCCCATCTCTGTGAAGTCAAGGGCTAGACTTGCCAAAGTCCTAGCTCTTGGTGATTTGATTGTGGTAAATGTTTTTCCAGCATGTTGAGTTTCAGGGTTGGATATTCTTTATAGAGCCACTTTTGTTGTTGTCATCAATCATGATAGGGAAATAGTTTTTCAGATGCAAAATGCATCCGTTTTGCTGCTGGAGCCAACTGTATTAATACATTGTTCGTTTTGACACATTACTTCCACCAACAGCAGACTGAAACTCCCAGGATTGGTCACAGTCCAGTGGTCTTGAACTGTAAGATTGTTGTGTTATTAGAGACTCTGAGCTCAACAATGACCTTAAGTTATCATATGTGGGTGTGATTGTGTGTGTAACCTAATTTTGTAAGTTGATATATTCCATCATGCTAGTAACATTTAACGGGGGGGGGGGGGGTGGGGGTAAACCCTTACTAACACTAACGTTAGTCATGTATCTGAATTCTATGTGGTTTACATAGTCACCAAGAAAGATATTGGAATGAAGAATGACTGTGTTATGTTATTGAGCCTCTGCTTATTCAAGTTTGTGTGGGTTTATTAGCATGGTTTAATCCACCATTGAGTATAGTGATGCAAGTGTTTTAGAAATGTTAATGTAAAGTTCATATAATGTGAATCTATGACTTTTCATCACACTGCTGCACTGATTTCTCTCATAAGCTCATAATATATGATGACTTATTGCCTTTCATTTGGTCCCAACCACACTCCTGTGTCATTTCAGAATGGTACAGTATGCAATTGATACTCAGTCGTTGGCGTACCATTTTAGTTAAGGCCCCCTTACATCTACGATCTAACACACTCGCATGTGACCATAACATTTTTTCTGAATATATTTTTAAAAGCACATTCACGCCTGTCTGCTTGCCAAGCCACCTTCCCACCAGCTGTACAGGTGCACTGCATGGTGTTTGACAAAGCACAACTTGGAGCACAAGTGCTAGGTTTTTTTTGTGTCGATCAGTGTGGTTGGAGAGTAAGACTGGGCGGTTAAAAGTTGTTGGTAGTCGATTGTATGGATAAACACATTTGTGAGAGTGCATGTGCTGTGACTGTTATCATTATTGTGTATGGTATTTACTATTGAACAGTGAGCACAGTATGTTAACGCTAACTCGTGTATTTATGATTCCCATTGCCATACTGCAACCCTGTCTTAAATTTGATTTGCATTGGATCCAAACACTAGTTGGTCTGCAATTATTCTATTATGTGAAGCTACTCTGCTACTAATTGCCAACTGTTAAAAATTGAATCATGTTCCAATGGACATTGGTATTGATAAGTGATCCTTCATGTTGTGATTTATGAGGAGTGAAACCTTGCCCTAACATTCTACTCAACTGTACTGTGTAGACAGAATGGAGTTGGCAATAGTAGATAATACAATGTGTTAAAATATCAGGGTGATACCATCTTGACATATCACCACTGAAGAACATTAGTCTGATTGCTTGAGTTCATTCAATAAGTTGCTCATATTTTCCATGGCTTCTGTATTTTGCTCTGCATTTTCTTCTGTTTCTTTCTACACTACATCACAAAAAAATGTGAAAATAACTGAAAGCATGTTTTTATTTTATTTTACGGGTCTATTAGAAGTTAATTCTGTTTACTTGAAAGGTTGAGTTTTTCTAAGCCGCTTTCTTTTCGTTCTTATTCATGGTGCCTTTTTGCCTACAAATGTATGTCATTCTTGCCAGAGTTTTACTTTGGTAATAAGGAGACCAAAAGATCCATGTTTCCCTTTGTCTTATTCTGTCTCTAAGAAGTCATGATTGCCACTATATTAATTGCCGAAGGAGTATCTTGAAATCAAAATGTGTCCTGTTGATTTGATAGTGATAACATGAAAAGTATGGTGTAGGGAAGTAAGCCAAATGCACATTATGATAATCAACAATATAACTTTTTTTTTTTAAAGGCTTATCTGTATTTATATTGTTTTGTTTTGCAGACAGTAATATTAAAGAATCATTGCAACAGGAATGTGTTAATGTTTTGTGAAGGCAAACTGTCATATCCCCCTTTTATAGAGTAAGAGGCTATGATTTAATTGTAGCACTGTATGTATTATCAGATTACTGGTCTGAAGGCACTGATAAACAAAAAGCTGCATTCCTCCCTTGTGAAACAGGCAACACTAATATGAACTCTTCTCTGTAGGGCTAGGGCAGATTAAACTACTGGGATGATTTAGATCACGGTTATATCAAATTAGATTGTGATGTAAATTGTTGATGAATATAGTGTTTAATTCAGTCAGCTGGCCTGTGGGATTTGTAATACAGCAGCAGCCTTTGTTCTGATAATGAACGATATATACTGAAAAATATATATAAATGCATCATGTAAAGTGTTGGTCACATTTTTCCTGAGCTGAAATAAAAGATCCCAGAAAATTTCCTTAACACAAAAAGCTTATTTCTCTCAAATTTTGTGGACAAATTTGTTTACATCCCTGTTAGTGAGCATATCTACTGTGCCAAGATAATCCATAGACCTGACAGGTGTGGCATATCAGGAAGCTGATTAAACAGCATGATCATTACACAGGTGCACCTTTGGCTGGGGACAATAAAGGCCACTCTAAAATTTGCCGTTTTGTCACACAACACAATGCCACAGATGTCTCAAGTTTTGAGGGAGGATGCAATTGGCATGCTGCTCAGGAGTATTTGTCTTTTTTTGTTCAGTATAGTTTTTATTCAGTGGAATGATGAGATAAGACCCAGATTCACCTGAATACATTATGTTTCTCTAAGAACAGTTTGGCAACCGTGGAGCAACAAATAAATTAAAATGTGCTTGTAAAGACTGATATAAACTCTAAATTAACCCCTCAGTAATGGTGGATTATTTTAATAAGGTTTTCACACAATACAACCTAAATCAAGAGGATAATCTGGAGATTAAAAAATATTCTGACTTCAAGACCTGAATATTTCCAATATGCACAATCGAATGTGTACTTTAGCCGGTGATCTCATTCCCAAGCCTTGGGATAATATCTGTTCAAATGTCAAAGATGAAGTCCATAGCCTGTAAAGTCTATTACTAACATGGCAAGTATTACCAGAGGGGAAGATAGGTTTTACTGTGTATACCAGATGAAAGTCCCGTGTACAGTGGGGGGAAAAAAGTATTTAGTCGGCCACCAATTGTGCAAGTTCTCCCACTTAAAAAGATGACAGAGGCCTGTAATTTTCATCATAGGTACACGTCAACTATGACAGACAAATTGAGAAGAAAAAAATCCAGAAAATCACATTGTAGGATTTTTTATGAATTTATTTGCAAATTATGGTGGAAAATAAGTATTTGGTCACCTACAAACAAGCAAGATTTCTGGCTCTCACAGACCTGTAACTTCTTCTTTAAGAGGCTCCTCTGTCCTCCACTCGTTACCTGTATTAATGGCACCTGTTTGAACTTGTTATCAGTTTAAAAGACACCTGTCCACAACCTCAAACAGTCACACTCCAAACTCCACTATGGCCAAGACCAAAGAGCTGTCAAAGGACACCAGAAACAAAATTGTAGACCTGCACCAGGCTGGGAAGACTGAATCTGCAATAGGTAAGCAGCTTGGTTTGAAGAAATCAACTGTGGGAGCAATTATTAGGAAATGGAAGACATACAAGACCACTGATAATCTCCCTCGATCTGGGGCTCCACGCAAGATCTCACCCCGTGGGGTCAAAATGATCACAAGAACGGTGAGCAAAAATCCCAGAACCACACGGGGGGACCTAGTGAATGACCTGCAGAGAGCTGGGACCAAAGTAACAAAGCCTACCATCAGTAACACACTACGCCGCCAGGGACTCA